TTTTTCCAAAGAGGTGAACGACTAAATGGCAAAACCTATCTTGATGAACTGTTACCATTTTATAAAATGGAAGGTGATCGGCTATTCGGGCATCAAAATTGGGGTTTCCAACAGAATGGAGCAAGCTGTCACACTGATAAAAGTGTACAGAAGTGGTGCAAAAAAAATTTCAAGTTTTTTATTTCGAAAGACAAGTGGCCCCTAAATTCGCCCGAGTTGAATCCGCTAGATTATTCGATTTGGAACAGTATATCCAACAACGTGGATTATTATAAAGTCAAAACAATTAATGATTTGCGTCGAGAAATAGAAAAGGCAACGAAAAAAATTGATGTTAATTATGTACGGGACACGATCAGTGTTTTTCTTCGACGAGTGTGATCGGTGGAAAGACATAATGGTGAACTCATTATTGATGAACATTGCTAGGTTTAGTAATACCCTCTGTAGCGGTATTTACCGTTACGGCTCACTTTATGTACTTTATCCTCTTCGCTGTATCCTATGTTTGTGCATTGACCTGATGAACTCTCATTGTTCTATTGCGTGACCATTCCCTCTTTGTCTATATCCGCCCAAGTGTGATCGCTCTCGCGTATATAAGGGAATGCAACTAAAGGAAATGTACGACTAGAGATGTGCAGATGACACAATACACCATCATGCCGACGGGCATAGGCGACACTCTCTATGTTCGTCACACCCTCTTGTAGTGTTTCAAGCACTTTGTTGTTACATTGTTACTCCTTGTTCTATAGAAATAAAATACATTTTTCGAGATGTCGCAAAACTTTTGCAACACCCGGTAGCATTAGTGGATATTTTCAAAATCAATCAAGGTTAAATATTTTGATTAAAAATTCTTAGCATTGAAATCATCGAGAGGAATAAAAACGAACAAGATAGTCAATAAATACGGTCATGATCTATGTCTAATACTGAAGCGTATTTTTTGCAGTTTCATGTTCATTTTCAAGCAAAAAATAGTTTAAATCTAAAATGAATAGCTTCGTATACTGAATACTATCGAATGGTCTAAATAGCCTTCTCAATTGAGCAGTTTTTATTCTGATTCGCATTAAATAATAAAATTTAAATGAAAAATATTTACAAACTGATCTTTTAGATCTATCTATTTAAATAGTATTTCATTGTCGACAAGAATAATAGCGTGTTAAGCAAAATCATAGCTGATACATATAATTCTGAAATTTAATAGTATTGTAAACATAGAATTAACATTAAATTGATCATCATTCTGATTTTATATGTTGCAATAATATTTATTAGCAAGAATTGTCCTGGAAAAATGTTGACGCCATTTCGATCAGAATGTAGATTTAATATTCATATATCTTCATGTGAATGAATTATTCGAATATTTTTGAAGATAAGATAGATATATATATCTGTTCTTTGATTTAAATATAAATATGATTGATTTTTTAAATGTAAATGCAAAAACAAGTTTCAAAGATATTTATTAAAAGAAGAAATGTACTTTCGAAGATTTAAATTAGTACTCATAATTTCTTGATTTATTAGAAAGAGAAATAAATTTCATAATTCGAATTACTCCTCAATCTCTGTCAGACGAAAATAAATCTTTTGCATCAATCTACTTGAGCTCTTTAAAACAGTCGTTAAATTCTTTTTATCTCTGAAATACTGTGAATAATAATATGAGAAAATAATTTGTGAAGTAGCATTTTTTTCCTGTTATAATCAAATAAATGAAATATAATATGTTCACATAATAACAAAAACAAAGTAACAAACAGTTTAAAAGGACAACTAAAAATAATATGTACATATATATTAAGAAATGATCGCTTGTCCTAAAACAGTTTTAAGATTTTCAAGTAATAGTGTTTGTTCTAATAGTTCTTTTTGTGCTTGAATCTTTTCGTTTTCTAATAAACGTATTTGTTCGATTTCTTTTTTGACACTCCAATTAAATTTTATTGTTTGTGATAAATCAATAAAATCTTGGTTCTTTTTATCGAAATCTATTTTAGCAATGGAAAGATCTTGAGAATGTTCAATATTTAATTGATTTAATGTATTAACTAATTCAAGCATCATTGTTATAGCTGATTCAGTATTACGCATTAATGTTGTACGATCATTGAATTCTAAACGAATTTCATCTGACTTTTGCATAAAATTATTTGTTTTATCATTGATTATCGATCGTGTACGAACAAGCGATGCCATCGATTGAGATATAAGTTCAGATAATTCTTCGTCTATTTGACGAGCTTCCGAAAATAATGTTTGTAAAATTTCTGCCTAAAATTTGATAGAGATAAAAAAAAAAGTAATATGAAAATATTATTCGATAAAAGAAAATTCAATAGATATACTCCATCTGTTTTGAATTTTGTAACTTGAATAACAGCTAATTCAAGACGATTTTTAATTTGAATGAAATCTTCTTCCATGTGTTCTCGTTCATGACGCAGATTTTCTAATTGTTTATTACGTTCGACTAATAATTTTTCTTCATATTCAAGTCTTTGTTCACGTTGTTGTAAATATTCAGTTTCTTGTAGAAATGCTGCAGCAACTTTTAATTGCATCTGTGAAAGCATCGTTTGTAAATTTGAATAAGTTGTTGTAAACGAATCTCGTGTTATAGCTGATGATTGATGAGCTATGTCACGTTCAAGACGTAGTTGTTCATTAAATGATAAACTATTTATTGGTGTATGAATGCCTGTTATATGCGATAGATTAATCGCGTATACATTAGGATTAATTTCACTATTTAATTCATTAGAAGTGGTTGATGATGATCGTCCTTTTGGCGTAAATATAGTTGATTTTAATTCATCAAGCGATGACGTTGTTAGACAGTTTCGATTTATTTCCATCATTCTATTGAAACGATATGTTGTTCAAAGAAAATGCAAGCGAAAAATGAATAGATGATTTGTAAGTTAGATATATGTACGTATAATATATATCTAACTTTATCGAGGGTGCATCGATGAATCATAATAGAAGAGCGAAAAAGTCGACAGCATGTAGTGGAAAAAATAAAGCTCTTATTGTGTTTTATAACAGATAGTCTTAATTTAATGTTTCATTTAGATTATAATACTCTACAAGAAACTGAGTAAGCTGTCATTCTAAGATGAGATCTTGAACGCTCTATTAAGTTTTTAAAATTGCTCTTTTTAAAATAGTCTCAATTCGAGAGTAGGAATGTTCGATTATAGTGAATTCATGATTTAAAACTAAAATTAATATAATGATAGAATATTCATTTGTTATTTTTACTTAGAGAAAATATATTTTAAAACAAGACTATTACTCTCTTATTTCACAGAACTTGTATTGTAATGTCGCCATTGAACAACAAAAGTCAAACAAAAGACATGTGGTTTAGAAAGTATCGAAATAAAGATCCACATTCAATCTTTGTAGAAATAAAAAATATCGAAATACAAATTAACAACCATTTGGTTCATAGCAAATTGAATCAGCGTAGTTTTATAAATCAAGTTTAAAATCTTCAAAAATTAGCTAACTTAGTTCCAGATTTTATATACTTGCCTTTTTCCTTAGTTCATCGCATCATTTTTTAAACTCATAAATTATATTAATTTTCTGAACAACTATGATATAATCTATGAGGGATATAAGCTACTAAAAATGATAGAGCAAAAATATACAATGACTCGTTTATATTTTTTAACAAAGTAAATACGAAAAACAAGTACAAAGAATAAGTGATTAAATGTTGATTTAGTAAAGTTCATGTTTTAGTAGTTATGATTTTAGTTTTAAAAAAGTAGAAAAAAAGACATTCATGGGTCAGGCTCCAATAAACATTAGATTCAATCTTTGATTATACAGAACATTTTCTTCATCAGCTACACCATAATCATTTACTTGATAAAACTTTTGAAGTTTTCTATCTAAGGTTTTAATGAACAACTGATGAACATGCAAGATTAATTGAAAATGACTATAAATTCGTTTGATTAAATAGTGAAATACTATATTTCAATTCATCGTGATTGATTTTTGAAATCAATCAAAAAAATAATTTATTAAAACAAAGAAACTGTGATATTCGACATTTCATTATTGTTTATCTTAACCAAAGAAACTTGAATGAATTCTTTTTTTTTTACATAAGTTTAGATGTGTGAATAAATAAATGAAGTTGTTCGAGAGAAGGAGTACCCAATATTAAATATAGATTCAAGATTAACGAATAGAACTTTAACAAATAGTAAGATTTTTAGAAGAATAAGTTCTCAATGACGAATGAGACAAGAAACCTGATGGATCTATGGATGATTAACTGGCAGGGGCGCTTTCAAAACTTATTAATTTGATAAAAGAAAGTAAAAGATTAAAATTTGTGTACATACAACAATAATATCAGAAAAAAAACTAATGTAATACAGCATATGATTGCTAAGACTCTTTATTTTGAAAACTCAAATCTAGATTTCAAGATGTTTAACAATCATATGATCCTTGGGGGAAAACATAAGCCTCAACATATCAGTATATACTTCATTCAAGAATAGCAAGAAAATTATTGATTGTTTGCATTGTCAATTCACACTCATTACTCCTATTGAGAAGTCAAACTTAAAGTCTGAAGTTCTCTTCTTTTCTAATATTATACTCTTATTGAATGACCCGACTGTTGTTTAAATCAAGAAGTTGAACAAATAAAAATAACTTGAATACATGTCATCAAACTAAAAAATACCAATAGAAAAAAGTTATTTGCATCGGAAGAATAGTTTTTTCTCAATAGTATGGCTACTCATTATAAAATAATGCTAAAGAAATTGTTATTATATAATACTTATCAAGAAAATTAACAAAAGTGTTGTATTGGATAATGTATCTTTTGATTTTAACACGCCTCATGATCTGTATTATATTTATCACTGTAATTCAATTGCTAAAGAGATTTATACAATATCCATGAATGATATAATCAATGAGTTTCAGCATATCAAAAGTAGATAAATTTGTTATTTTGAAAATTTTTCATGAAAAAATTGAATATATTTTTAGATAATATTTTTGAAATCAGGAAATTAATATTCGAATAATTCATCATCAAACAAAGGCTTGAACTGTTTCGACGAATTTAAAACATTTTTGATGTATACCCAGGTCGTGACAGTACAGGGTAAACGGCCGGAAAACACTAAAAATTGCTGAAAGACGGAAGCAGTATTCGGATCGAAAATTTTTGGATCTTTCCCCAGTGGATTTCAGTCAACTTCCAGTGCTTTCCGACAGGAGCCTGTAGTAAATCATCGAGAAAAAATCCGAAAATTTTCTGTTCGGAATACTGCTTCCCAGTTCAAGCGACTTACTGTATTTTCCCCGAGGGATACGGCGATTTTGCTGCATCTTTTCGGCCAGTTCCTACAGTATCCGATGGCCGGAATGATCGACCTGGGATATTTACCATTAAACATTTTAACTGTTTTCAAAAAATAATGACTTGAATAAAAACAAGATTTTTCATATGAATATTTTTTATTTTTTGCTGACGGTAGATATGTGATAAATTACAACCTATCATAATAAACACCGAAATAGGATTTTTGTATAATTTACTGAAATGCATGATCTAAGCTACACGATTAAAGGATATCGTTGACTTTATTTTTTTCTGATGTTTATAGCTCTTCGGCAATTTGTTTTAGTATCAATTTTATTGTGTATGAATTTTTCACAAGACAGCAAAGAATATCTTCCATAGTATATTCTTTGCTTTGCTTGGCTATATTAGCTATTTGTAAATAATCATAATCAATAATCAAATACATTCTTACATGATATCAAGCGAGAATAATGTCATCAGAAATGGTCTTAAACGGCGTCGTTAACGTTCCAATGAAAAGCGATCCATAATCCGAGCTGCCGGAAAACGGTGAAAAGCGGTGGAAGTTTTTCATCGTTTAGGGCAATAGTATGCCGTTTCTTGACAGTTTAGTGTCATCTTTCAGGCAATCTGAGTGGTGGACCTGGGTGATAAAGGAAATAATTCTGATGAGGACGAACTAGAAGAAGACCAAGAAGAGGGTGAGGTCGATGAATCAGCTGCTGTTAGCGATAAAGAATGTGGAACCAACGTCTGTGATATTATTAAAAAACCAGATAATGATACAATTAAAAAAAGGAGTAGAAATTATAAAAACATTTGAAACCATTGCAAGAAATTTATATGTCAAACAGAATTGCATCAGAACATTTGAAGAAGTTAAATTGTTTTTATATAACTTGCTATAAGTTATGTGGCATATGTATGGAAGCATTTCGATGAATATTTCAAACAAGAAAAAACAATGGCATTAGAAGCTTTGCGTGAACTACACAAGAAAAATATTTTATACAATGATATAATGCCGGTCGATCAAAATGGGTCACCGTAAACCACCGTAACATTATCATAAGCGGCCGTAAATGCACCGTATGTCATCATAAACGATCGTCTCTCTGTCGCATTATGGCGTTATAACACAGACAGTATTATGGACCATATACGACATCGTATTCCCATCGTAAAAGAATTCGTAATAGTGTCGTATTCTATCAAGGAATCAACCGTATTACTGTCCGTGTTATAATGGGGGAATGCGGTGCGCGTAACGAGCCATATATGTTTATCGTTTATGATCGTTTCGTTCGACCAGGGAAGACTGGAATTTATTTTAATTATGGATGCAATCAAATAACTTTATGTGATTTCGCTGATTCATTGATATTTAATAAAAGCGTACAAGAAATTATTTAAGAAAGAAGAGAGTCATCTTAAGAAGGTAATTGAATTATGTACAATGAAATCAATTTAAAAAATATTTTGTTGTTCATTTAAGAGGGAGAAGTGGCAATGATGCATGTTATCCTATATCGAGAACAGCATAAGGGGTAGTCCTATAGTGTATGCGTCAAATTTCCATTCAGTTCATTCATACCTCATTTAGTACACCATAGTGAGATGGTCAAGCAGTGAAAATATGATCAGTCACCGATGTTTTTAGGGAGGAACCGTAGAATCCATCAGAATCCAAAATGGCTTAAAGGCCCAGGATTCGCCTTTTCCCCTCGGGGACATGCCTTTGAATCTTTAATTTAATATGAAACTTAATGTAAAACTAAATCTATTCCTAGAATTATCTAGCGGTTCTTCTTTCTCCAATATCTGTATGTATTCGAAGTCGAAATAGGTAACTAGTCTAATTGATATAAACCTTATCAAACTGAAAGTCATTCATAAATGAGCTATTTTTTTATTCATTTCCCTATTACGAAACTTTCAATAAAAATAAATGCATGAAAACAGAAATATTTTTATCTTGGCAATAGTTTTAAAAGCTTAGAAAGAAAACTCACGAAATATTCAACTATGTTTATTCATTTGCTTCTAGCATGAATACTGTCTAAAATTTGTTTTAATAATTGTTCAAGTGGCTTTGAATTAAAATTAGCTTGATTTATAAGTTGTATAATATTTTGATATGTTTTTTCTTCATATTGTTGATAAATTTCTTTTAAATTTAGTTCTTCATAAATATCTTTAACACGTTGAACTTTGTTTTGATCATCATTACCATAATTATCACGAAGAATGTCACGTCTTCTATCATTTTTTTCTAATAATTTCATAGCTTGAACAATCAGCCATGAACATTTACGCTCCTGAATATCAGTACCAATTTTCCCTGTTCGATTAATGTCACCATAGCAATCAAGATAATCATCTTGTACTTGAAAATAAGTACCAATATTAAGAGTAATTGTTTTTACTTCAGTATGATCAGCAAGAAAAGATGAAGGAGTTATTAATATACCACAAAGAATTGGCAGAGCAATTGTATAGTAAGCAGTTTTCCATGTGACCACAGTATAATAATGCTCTTCTGTATAAAAATCAATCGATGGTAAATAATGTGGAGTTTCTAAATCGAGTCCTATAGATTAAAACAAAATGACAGTTATTTTAAAAAAGAAATATTACAATTAAAAAGAATATTCTCTTTACCTTGTCCAATGACAGTCCGTTGAAAAATTTCATTAAATAAATGATATAATTTAAAATTCGTTGGAAAATATTTATTTAATAACGTAAATGTACACGAATATAAATAAAATGAATCATTGACAGCTGATTCTTTTTCTTCAACTTTCAGATACCAACACGGCTGTCCACGTCTTGTGAGTGAATGATCCATAAGATCATCAGCAACAAGAAATGCTCCTTGCATTAATTCAATACACCATCCGAGAATGGCTGCTTGTTTTAATAATAATTCATCAGCAGATTCCGACGAAAGAACACGAACAGTGTCAATCACAGTTGTACCGCGAATCTTTTTCCCGTTACTAATATTATAACTAAGAACAGTTTTAAAGTGAGAATGAATTTTTTCAAGATAAATATTCCTTGATATTTCTGATGAATAACTCGATACAAGATCTTCTACTATTGTATTATAGTATGAATTTAAAATTGATAAGCTTGAAGCGGAATTCATAGTCAGATTTTCAAAATCTGAAAAGAATTGTATTTAATTATTTTCATCAAAGCTTCATTTTTATCTGCTGGCTGACAAATTGACCTATAAATATATTTTGATAGCCAATGTCTACCTAGACTATTTTTTACTGCACAAAATATTCTTTGTCTATGAAACGATATTAATGTATAGTTAAAGTTTTGAATGAAAGAAAGCATCAAAAAATAACTTAAGCCACAAAAAAATGTGCATTCTACTGAAATTAAGAAAATATTTCTGTCGTTTACCATGAAAAGAAAGAAAGAAAAAGAATTTCGTTAAAAATTGTATTAATTGTTTTGCAGCGTAGTTACCAAAATTACTTTTAAAAAATAAAAAATAATAGTTTAAAAGCCTGTTGCTATCACTAAAACAAATTAAAAAGTTGAATATACATCACACAATGCTGATAAAAAAAAACTAGGCTTTCAAAAAAAACCAGACAAGTCAAAATTATATGTAGAGTTACTTAACAACACTAAAATTTTTCTGCTAAGAAGAAAATGAAATTTTAAGACGTTTTTAACGCATTGATGCATATTGGTAGTCATAAGTAATATGTGAACTCGAAACGTATACATACAATATGGACAGAACGATGCGAAAAAAAAGGTAAAATGCTGAAGAACAGAAAAATGTATGAGAACATATATTTGTTGGTATGTGTACTTTATAAGATCACGTGATGCATTTAACAACAGTAGATTTCTAAAGAAGATCGTACCATATAAAAGATAAACTAATCTATTATCAATAGGATAAACTGTTAACTACATCATCGAACATCATCTTGATAAGAACAGTGATATTCTTGTGGCAAATAGACAGCATAAATTATTATAGTTGTTGAAAAAGAATTTTACTATTTTTTCACACAATACAATGAGAATGTAAAAAGAATGAAGTGAATATCAATGATGTTTAAATCACTTTCAATCAAATTATGAAACCATGTCTTTCATGCTCAAAGAATATGAGTCCACTGCAAATATGATTTCCTTCAAAAGTTTGAAGATGGGCTTATTCTGCAATAAAAAAGTTTTTCCTTACAGCTATAATTTGATTAGTTAAACACATTCATACGTGCTCAATAACAGATCAATTGCCATTTTTGAATTGAATGCAAACCCTGATATGAGGATACCACTTCGGTTGTACGACATCAGGCAATCTAAGTGAAACATTTAGTACACAACTTAACATGAATTAGATATATCAAACCGTTTATATCGAGATACTTTTTTTGTTCGAAAAATGCTCAAACTTTGGATAAGGTTTGAAATAAAAATCCCATGACGTATGCGCCTATCAGAATCTATTAAATAAAGTCATCTTAGAACTTCATGTTCATATAAAAAACGGAAGGATTTATGTTTGATTTATCTTGAAAAAAGTAAAAAGTAAGTCCTTTAATACCTGATGAAAACCTCTCATTTTTATGAAGTCGACAATTCAGATCTTATGAGTGGTGCATAAATAGATATTCTATTCATTACATATTGGGATTTACTTTAAGACGCTGATCAAATCTTGCATAATTTGAGCCAATCATCACACAGTTTGAGCGGTGTCTCATTACCTAATTAAATATTTATTCAAACTGTTGTCAACTTCTTTGAAGTTAATATCATTTGATTTTTAGATTGTCTATAACTTTCTACGAAAACAAAAACAGTCTAACTAAATGATATTCATGCATATCTACTATCTAGCTTTCCCAATCCTCGATTAGTGCTTTCTCATCGATACTCTGAGCTATTCAAATTCCAGCTGTCTAAAATTGCTAACTTCTTTATCATTGGAAAACAAGTAGGACAAACCAAGCTTTTGATATACTAAAGAAATCATAACCCGAAAAATGCAAAAAAAAAGGTAATAAATTGTTTGATTATTTGCATTCATACATTGTGCTCGTTTGAATACGGTGAGCTTCTATCACGTTTACACGTTATAACATTGCAATTCGACTTCTATTCTATGAGACGATTTGAAGTCAAAGAAGAAGAGAGAATGATTTGTATTAAATAAGCAAAGCATAAGTTTAGATAAATTCTATTCGATATGAATGATAATATTCTATTAAAAATCTCACGATAATTATGAATTGATCTAGAAATATAAGATACATCCAATAAATTCGAATAAAATTGTTGAAAATTACCAACGATTCTACGATACAAATGCATTTATTATTAAAAAAAAACTGTATTATCACTTTTACAACAAAACTGTACAAAATTGTCTTCACGTTTTTCAGTCTCTCTACAGGATGTCACAAAAGTCATCATATTAAAACTGCAGTTACACAATAATACATTTGAAATATTCTAATCGGGAGATAGATTTTAAACGTTGCACTATAAAAATAAGTCAATTTTGCATTAATTATAAAAATTTGAACTTCCTTGGAACATGTGAACTTAATTATTTTCAACGAACGTTATTTTTATATGGATTTTTTTATACTAAAAAAATTATCATTCTAAAATTGTTTTTATGAAACTAAATATTAACAACAAAAAATTTAACTAAGCAGAATGCTAGTGAAAAAAATGAAAACGTAAATCAGAAGCATTTCACCTGTACAATCGACTACTTTGATTCATCGTGATGAAAAGACAACTACTGGCTAATCGAATCGATTTCTATCCTAGAATGTATCAACGTATGATACAGTATTATAGCACAGAAATAAAAAAGAACCAAAAGCTTTTCTTATGAAATCAATAATGATATTTTTCAAATGAATAACGAACTTCTAAACGCACTGTGAGTCGTTTGTTTTTCTTGTCTATAAAACTTTATTTTAGTCTATCTAGATTCTGACCTCTGTGTTCTATAATAATATTTATCAATTCCGTTGTAAATTATTATCGAATAGAGAATTCTTAAAACGTTATGAATGGTCTCGCTTTTATTCATTGATTGTGTGCCGATCATGCATTTGTTCTCGTGAACCTATCTACTCATAATTGATCTCATGTTTTCATTCCATGAATTTTACTTTTATACGAACTCGCTCTTGGTATCTATTAAGTTTATGAGATGTTTTCAAAGCTTGCCATTGGAGGAAGAAGAAGGTATGTTATTCTTATAATATTAATTCTCATATTGTTTCTATCTAGAATCATTTTTAGCTAATAATAGAGGTCTTTATGTTGTGAACTTATAAATTTAGATATCATCGAGTCAAATGAAAACTTTCGCATCTAAAATTACAAATTTAAAACATAGACTTTCATCGACTAATCTGAACCGAAATATTAGATTTTGAATGAAATATCACATTTTCTGCAAAAGCAAAATTTCTAATCTATTTTTCGTTGCAATTAAAAAACGAGGGCTTTCGAGGATTCTCTGTACGATATTTGTCCTGTATTTGAAATGTAATTTTCTTTTTGTCGAAACATTTCAATTCCAATACGATTACAAAAGTTCTTTCTAAATTTAGTTTTGTGATTACCTTACACATATACTGTAAAATACACTTATACAATAAGAGCAGTCTATACATTCATAGATTCGAAGAGAAACACATAGATAAATATTTCCTATCCTCTGTAACAGATCAAATGTAATGCGTCATGCTATCTATGGCTAACAAAAAGATATTGCTCAGTCACTCACAATGATCGATAAACATACGTATGGATTGTGCATGTCTTTGTAGAGCATACATAGTGCTGATTGAAAACGAAAGATACTTCCGTTTCATTGATTCGAACTTTCATCATTTGATTTCATAAAAAAAAGAATCCAGTAGTGAAAAGACTTACAACTGTAATTTTCAGTGTGAGGTTGTTAATTCGATCGAAATCTATTCAATCTCATTAACTTACAACACAAACACTTATTGTATTAGTAGATTTAATATTGGTTTACATAAACGACAACTATGTAGATTTTTTACTAGTTGATAATGAAGTGGATTTTAACGAAAATTTGAAAAAGTCTTGATTAAAACTTACAGAAAAAAGATTGCTTCATAACGATTTTGCATGTTGTATAGAAATGATTCGCTGGTCAATTTACTCTGTTGATATGACTTTTGAGACATCCTCTAAAGTAGAATAAGTGCTGGTATTGAACTCAGCTATTCCAAAAACAAGTTAAATAAAACCAAAACATTTTATCAGAAGTGATGGAAAAATTAGTTTGATGAAAAACGTGTTGATTAAATTGCGATAAAACAGAACTGACATTTTGCATACTGACTGTATAACGAATGTCCAAGTTTATTTTAATTTTATTTAACAATGGAAATGAATTTTCACCTAAAATCATATGTTTCCATTGTTTTTCATTTAAAAATCCTCGGTCCCAAACAGATCCAAACATTTGGAATGAATGTAATATAGGCATGTGTTTTAATAAAAATACAACTTCATCAAATTTAATATCATTATGAAGACCAAGAGTGAATTTTGTTAGATTTAAACAATAATATTCTTTATAAGTTTTACTATCAAAGATTCTTCCATTTGAATTCAGCCAAACATTCAATGAACGAAGTTTAGGCACATTGATTAAAAGACTAAATAGCATATCAAGTGTTATCATACTCAAATCCAAATGTTGAATAGACTGCGATGCAGGCAACAGAACATCAAGAATATAAAGAGTTGGGGAAATATTTACTTTACATTTCGAAAGACTTGGTAGACAAAGTATTTGATGAATTAAATCATTTGTTGGCCGACCAAAATAATTATTATTAGATGATTCTACAGCTAAATAATTAAGTCGAGGTAAGTTTGACCTTTGAAATAATAATAAAATATCGTTTGGTGTCCAATCTATTAACGAAAGTTGGCTTATTCGATGAAGAAATGAATCCAACGGTAATGTTATGTTTGAAACCAAACGAGCATATAAAGGTGTATCATTATTGTATAATAAAGATTTGAATCGAAAATTAAGCGACGAAAATATTCGATGAAGCTCGGTAAGTTCAAGAAAAGAAAATATTAGAAGAATTATTTCATTTGGTAAAATTTCAAACATCTAAAATAGTTAAATAAAATGTTGTACGTTAATAATTTGCTTTTTTATTCAATATGTGAAAATTAATGAAGTAAGACAACAACTTTTCATGAAATAGATCATTAGACTGCTCGAATCGAATAATAACAATAACATCTCTTTGTTCTTTCAAACAACATATTTATTTTTCTTGAATCAGAAGATTCGTCCAATATTTTTGCCAGAAAAGTTTGTTTTTTGTTTTTTCATCAATAAGATTGAGCACGTCTGACTTTCTGTTGTTACTGTTATTTCGTGAAAAATGAAAAATGATTTTATAGTTTACTTCACATTTATTCTTCTCACCAGAGAACAGATAGCGTTGCTTGATTCAAATCAATGAATATGTTTTTAAGAAGTTTTAGTTACTTAGATTCGCGTTGAACATAAAATTTAACATTTATGTCTAAATATCTTTCATCAACAAGAAAGATCTATTTCTTTGGAATAGAAGTTAAGTGAAGATAGAAAAACTTTGCATAGTAGAGTTATTCATGATTTAATCTGACGGATTTTAGAGTTGAAACCTCAACTATACTTTTACTTCATAGCGGAGTATAAATCTCATTTTTATTTCATTAAAAAAAGACGTTCTAATAAAAATCCCGCTCACTCCGTACTCATGGAAAACATATAGAAAAAAATGAAATGAACATAAAGAAAGTTTTATTTTTATTTTTTATGGAAAATTTACACGGGTAATCAAGGTTTTCATCGTTAAAAACAAATTGAATTTGAAAACAATGAATTCACTTTATCAATTTTAATAAAGAATCGAATTTTTTAAATACAGAAAAAAAAATGTTGCATTAAAAACACAGAGATTCTAGTTTATATACTAAAAAACGAAAGAAAAAACAAACAATTATGATGACTGTCACTGCCGTTTTTTTTTCTCTAAACGCACACATTAAACGTATACATGATAAATGAGACAGAAAATTGATTTTTTTTTAAAACACGAACACATTTTAAATACCGGTAAAACAAAATTAATAACGATTTATTTTCAGTGTCTTCCCCCACGACCTCCATGTCCATAGCCAAGAAAACGTGATGATCTACTAATAATATTTGATGCTGGAATATCATTGAGCTCTCGAATTAAAACTGTTACACCATTTTGATCAGTCACTTCAGTTATTGTTGTTGTTGATGTTAAGATTTTAGTTGGCTGCCATAAAAATTCTCTTAGAGATTCATCTAGTTTTGATGTTTCAGCAGCAATTGACTTTTTTTCTTCTTGTAGGTCTTCATCTTGATCAGATTCTTTCGATGAATCAGATAGATCTGTTTGATTTTTTTCAATTTTTTCTGTTCGATTGGATCGAAGTGTATATACTTCAACTCGATCGTTATCAAACTTTTTCTTTTCTATAGCTTCCTCATCGTCATTATTTTCATCATTTGTTGTCGGAGAAACAATTGCTGATGTGGATACATCTGATAATGTTGAACTACGCAGGCGCAGTGTTCGAACTGTACTTTTTGAACGGCTTTTTATTGGTGCATCACGCTTATTTACACTATTGCGAACTACAGATTTACTTTTTTGACGTTTCCGATTTCTATAAAATATATAGTAGTGAGAAAAATACATATCAATTCTTTTTATTTACCTGTTATTAAAGTCCGCAATAAGTAACTTATCTAAAATATGCTTCTCGGGTTCCCAAGTATTCCATCTAAAATCATTGATCATAAGTTAGATCTGCACAAGATCATCAAATTACTCACTTAGCAGCCCATCCTTTCCATTTAATTAAATATTCAGTTTTTCCCTAGAAAAATAAATTTTACTTATCAAATTCTATTGAATAAACAATTTGTTAATAAAATAAACTATTAAAACGTACGAGAAATACTTTCAATGATTCAATCTCAGTTTTGTGATGTCCCTATGAAAAATCTTTCTGAATGATGAACTAATGTGATCTGTAATTTTGATATGATTAAATTGTTCTAAATTCTTCTATAGAAAGTTCTACCCATTGAAAAAACAAATTGTATTTGTTCGAATGAATTTTTTTCATTGACAATTTTCAAATAAAATTTTGATCTCAATAGATTTATGATCGCCATTTACCAATGAAAACAAGATTTAAAATGTTGACTAGTATTCTTTTGGATCAATTTAAAACTATATTTGATTTTTAAACAGCATGCATTTACTATCTGTGTTAATGTTATGCCAACGATGGATTTGGCATAGTTCTTTGTTATAATGATACATTTTCAATCGATCTGTAAACATGGCAATTGGTGCGAATGATTCGAAATAAATATTACATAGTTCAAAATACAAAGTGAAGTTTCAAAAATTTTGCATTAGTTCCCTTCAGAATTCTTTCAGTTATTTAAATTTCGAAAAATCTAAATTGATATCATCGACTTTGTAATGATTTATTAAAAGTTGCTAATGACTATTTATCTCAAATTACATATTTGAAAACATACTGACTATCTTATATTATTAGACCATGGAATCTTTTTCTGAACAGCGTTGAACTTTTTTAAAGTACGCGAAATACAGACATGCCATTCATCAACTACTTAAATACAACGAATATTCAATTGATTTTCGTTTTTTTTTCTTCATAGAACAGCTAATCAATGATTGCAGGATCGAAATTAATATGAACATACTACGAAGATTTAGTGCTATTTTCGAATGATTAAATCATGTTCCTTATCATGAAAAAAAGTTTTTCGTCTTTTTCCCCAGTGGAGTTCTAATGTTTTATTGGCTGTTTACACTAAGTAGTTTCCAAAACAAAATGTGTCACCCTCCTTGACTAATTAGTCAAACTTAACAAAGTTTTTCTGATCGACTTCCTAAGTCATCGTTCTACTCCTCAGTGCTGACTGCGACAGAATACACCGACATGTATCATGTTCTTCAAGTCATTTTTTTAAATTACATTAATAAGTCAATAAAAGAATACTATGGAACAAATAAATTCTCATTCGCTCTTACTTTTCGTATTCGTTTAAGTAGAATCTTTTCCGCTGTGTATACTGGTGCTTCTTTATCGTCAGGCATCTAGAAAAATAAAATGAAAAAAATAGTTCATTGTTTTATTCTATCTGATTAAATAAATAAATCATTATAGTTGACTAGGATAAAATAAATATCTAGCAAATAAGACATTTTTAACAAAAAAAATTATTATTTTTGTAATTTTTTGTTATTCTTTTTGAGCTTTTTTGAATTCAGATCATCTTCATTTAATTGTAAGTCACACTGTTTAATAATAGAATATTTTTCGTTCCATTCATCTTTATTTGCTATACGAATGGCTATACAACGAGCCAAACTACTTTTTGGTTCCAATCGACAAATAATTCTAAATAAAAGAATAAAAATAAAAATAAATTATCAATATTTTCATATTCTACCGCAATTGAACATCTCGATCAATGTTAGAAAATGATTGATCCATTTCAGCAAATATACATTCAATGCGATCTTTTTCATCGATTAATGAAAATTGCCGTGTATTTGTTAATGATAAAGACGTTACTTGAGAATCAAGTTTACCTTTGATAAAAACATCAAAATAAAATTTCAATTTTAATAATTCAAATATACCAAAAACTTCAAATAGAATTGGATATGGTAAATGTTTATTTGTCCAATGTTTCATTCCTTGGACTGTTGACGTTACTAATCGTAACGATCCATCTTCTGGTAACAATTTTGCTTTCTATTATTATGAAAAATATAATATCGTTCAATTTTTAATTTAAAAAACGCAGAATAGACATCAAACCGTTACAAATGATTGCGTTGATTTAACACGTTTTGTAGATGATGATGATTGTGTTTGTTGTTGTTTTCGTACCGAAGCATAATTAGTTGTAGGAACATCATACTTAAATGAATCATTTTCATACTCATCCACCTTGCGTTTTGATGTATTATTAATATCAGATGATTGTGCAAGATTTGTCATATTTGACAATGGACGAGAACTAGTACTGAGTAATGGGACATGGCCTGATGATTTTCGTTTAAATCCTATTGAAGATGATGTACGAGATTTATTATAAGTCATCGATAATTCACGAAGATTTGTCACAGTAGTTCGATTGTGCATCGTTTATTAAAAATTGATTATTATTCTATATGGAATCAAACTAACAAATAAATACGATGCTATTTGAATTTGAGAAGATCTGACTCTACCAATCGAGACTGGTGTGCTGATAGATGTCATTGCTAGAAGCTATAACGAATCATAATTATATTAGGAAATTTTATAAATAATTTTCTTAATATCTTGTACGAGCAACATACTAGAAATCTATATATTATTAATATAATTTTTTTTCGCTAATATTTTAAAAATATTGACTTTCAATCAAGTTTATATGCGCGCATCAATTGAAACATAGATGTCGCACTCATTCACATCCGTGAATCGATGATCGGATTAAATCAAATGTCAAAGATGATTATCATCAGAGAACGAGTGTTTCTAATATTAAAAAAAAACGTTGAGCAAAAGCAAAACCTGTGAATCAATATATTACATGGTGAAGAAAAATAAATAGTATGTAAGTTATACATACTGAATTTCATTTTTTACACTATTTTGAACATTTTATTTGCAGATGCGCTGCAACGTAAATATAGACAGACATTCTAATTGACGTTTTTTTTTCCAGCAAATCATACCTTTTTAGCTATTCTAAAAATGATAACACTACATAATAATGAGAACACTTTAAGATCTCTCAGAAAGATGCCTCTAGTTAGAAGATCTCATGTTCAACGTGCTTTTTTATTTATAGCAAACTATCGGCTACAATAATAAGGTAGAAATCGAATAAAGGTTGCGTCAGATAGAAAATCTTAATTGTACATGAAAGCATTAATTGTAAACAATTAATTACTATGTCGATTATAAGCTAGTTGGTTCTCATCCCAAAAAGAGATCTGACTATTGGAAATACTATTTATCTTCTATACAAGTTGTTCTATGAAACAAAAACCATGGTGTACGTCTTAGTCTGAAACATATAGTAAACTGATATATTCTCTTTTAGAATCTCATTAAAAACGTTGCTCCCATTAATTTATTAAATTGTAAAAATTACTTTTCTCTGCATTTAACTAACACATGGCGAACGAATGTCACAGCATTTAAAAAAATAGGAAAAGTATTTTCTTTATTTTACTTCAACAATTTTTAAAATTTGCTTGTCTCTATTTTATTCATATGCTCTAATTCTAGGCTCTGTGGTACTTACTCAAATGTTCATCATGTTATATTCATTGACAATTTTCTTGTTTTTTTTGGTCGTAAAATTTCCATACTCTTTCTCGTAGGTATTTAGTTTTCTTCATTTGGTTTTCGACGTATTCAACTAAGAATTATAAATTCGATTGATATTATCGCTCTTCAAAAACCTTATTTATATGCAAAAATAAGAAAATAAATAATTACTTTCATTTCATTCCTATTGTATTTATAAAATTCATATAATAATAAAAGTTAACTGAATCAAACAGGGTCACAACAGAATGAAATTCATATGTGATATTTCACATGTTGTCTTTATTTTGCGCAGCAATATATTTTTAGAAAATAGTTCGAAAGCCTATACTTGAATCTATGAAAATAAAATATTTATTTAGATTTTATTTTAGATTTCTAGCAAAAATTCTGTGTAGTAAAGGCTTCTTTCGTCGATCAGAATTTTAGAAACATTTAGTATATTTATTTTTGCACTTTTTTTGCTCGTTCATCTGAATAATAAATACTTTCACTGTTGATTAAAATTGATTATTTATAATTTTGTTTTTCAATTATTTATTTTTACGCTTTAAGAATTAAACAATCAAAAGTAGACTTCTCATAGATTGTAAATCGTATGTTTGCTGTTTCAACTGCACAAATGAACAGTAAATGATTTAATTACAGGTCGATCAACAGACTTCGTAATCGTTAGTCGAACGGCATTGATTAATTGTAGTCCTCCTTGCCAAACATCAATTTTCTTATTACCAATACTTGTGCCTTGCGCTACTGTAAACCATTGATTTGTATCTGTTGTATTAACTATTTGTACATCAACAGTATACGCACGTATGACTTGACCGTTTGTTTGATCTTCTTGAATAACGGAACGATCAATTGTAACTGGTGATGAATCAAACAACTGAATATATATATTTGAATGATCTAATGTAAGACGTTTCGTAGGTTCAACGGAGGTCCCATAGCATGAACGAATGAAATCACCTAATTGTTTATAACGACGTGCATAAGCAGGTGGAATGAGACCTGTTCGATCAGGAGTAAGATCAAGCATCAATAAGCAATTGCGACCAACTGTTTCATGATAGACTTGAATTAATTCTTCAAGTGAACGCAGTGTTGCATTGACGCCCTAAATAAAAGATCGTCAAAAGCAAAACAAATTCTTAATTATTTTCAATATAATTGTACCCAAAACCAACGATCATGTTCTTGAAGAGTTGTATCACATTCCGCTGGACAAAATATTGGACTATTTGGATCACCACCATCATTCGTTATGCCTGTTGACCAATTTGGATCAGGTGCAATACCCATTTCAGTACCAATCCATCGAGCAGGATTCGAGGATACACCATAGCCATTGAATGCAATTGATTGAGGCTGAAGTTCTTTTAGTAAGGCAATGATTGGCTCTTTTAAAGATTGTGTGTATCTAGATCAATAGAAAAGAATGACATATTAATAATTCAATGTTCGTTTATTGACGAAACGAACCCTCCATCAAACCAAATTTCATCTAAAGCACCATATTTCGTCCATAGTGCTCTCAATTGTTGTAAAACAATATTATCGTATGTTTCTTGAGTTATATTTATTTGACCTGGTTTTAATGTACGATTTTGTACCTTAATAGATATTTTGCAATACATTTGTAAGTAAATACCAAGGATACCAAAGCAAAAAGATTAACTTACAAAACCACTATCGACGTTTAGCCAAGTATTGGTTACGACTGTATAATAAAATCCAGTGCGTATTTGTTGTTCTTCACAACTTTGTATAAAATCTTGAAGAATATCTATACCTTGTACTGGCGAATAATCAACAGTATAATTGTATGAAATGATTTCACCTGATGGACTCAAGGGAAATTTTATATCTGACGGAGCCATAAGAAAGCCACATGCATGCTATTATCATTAAAGATAAAAATATTCGAAAAATCGAACCAATTATTACTTTTGCTACAAGGACAGCATATTTAGCACCAAAATCAACCATAGTTTGAACCCAATTATTTGTATTCAATAGGTATGGATTAAATAACGAAATATTTGGAACAATTTGATCTGTACACCCATCATCACTCAGATATGTCGCCATATTAAAATGAATTAATACACCTAATTCTTGAGATTGCCATATGAGTTGTTCAGGTGCTAAAAAGCAGATCAAAATTTTGTTTTACGCAAAATTAGCAAAAAATATAGGCCATTACTTACTGGGTAGAGCAATACGAACTCCGGTAGTTGGCGAAATACGAAATTTTCCGGACGATTGGAAAGAACGATGTCTTTGCCGTTGATATCGCGTGAGTCGTCCATCATTTTTTAAAACAAACAACAACACAACAAGAAATGTAATCTTCATCATCTTAGAAAACAAATAAAAACCAATCAATTTTTATTGAATTTTTATGGTTGGAGTTAGATCGGACCATAATTCACTTCAGAAGCATATTTAAACAAACAGAAAAAAAAACTATATTTGTTTTATGTTATATCTTGTTGAGCTTAAGCGTGTTTTTTTGTTTTTATTTCATAAAAGGAAAAAAAGAATCTTTTGATTAGAATAAAAACTTTATTTCTCTACTCTTTCATTTGCATTGTAATTGAATTCAGATTTCATTTCGTCGTTGTTACCACCGAAAAAGAAAAAAACCGATTGACAACAACAAATGGCATGTTTTTTTCTCTACAGTATCTTGTAATTATGATCGATTTCATTACTGTTGGTACACATCTACATAGTAACTTTAGTCAACAACAATACTACATGAGAATATCGTTCATGATTACAGAAAACATGTCAGTAAGTATCATTAGTTATAACTGATCATGTGTATCATGATGATTTAAATATTCAAGTTGAATTCCTTGTACACATATATGCGATAGATAATAAAAGTCATTAGTATGATGAAAAAGGTTTTTGGTAAAAAATAGGAACGAAAAAGCAAAATTTTGATCCATATATCACTAATATTATTCTTATTTCTTTGACATTATCAATCGAAAACAAGTAAACCAAAAATGATTAGTAACTATGATCTTGAGTAAAATAATTTCTTTGTTTTGATATTTTAATTATGATTATTTTTAAATGTACAACGGAGAAAACAAACCACAGACCTCATTGATTTTATCTTTCGTTCTAGTTAATACCATAAAATGTTCAATTGACTGTTTTTACATCATTTTTTTCTAGGTTTTATTTTATCAATTTTATACTAGATGTATTGTTGCTTAACAAGAATGGGTTGCACACAACCATCGACGAGTGTTTTACCACAAAACCATATACCGATTAAACGATTATATGATGGTAGAGGCTATCCACTTACGAGAACTGCCCCAACGACTATGATTACTACAGCACCTATACCATCTTATATGAAAAGCGCATTAAAAAAGACTGATCCTTATGAAACGCTGCAAACAGACGACAGGTATCTGTTTAGACAACGAAAACCATTAGCAACTAACAAGACAGTGAATTTCGATGAGCAAGTATTAGTTAAACCACGTACACCAACGCCAAATAAGTCATGGTACGAGAAAAAATCATCGACTATGCCAATGAGACATAATCCACGCAACGATGACGATGACGATGATTATGATAACGAGGAAGAGGAGGAGGAGGAAGAGGAGGAGGAGGAGGATAACGATGATGAAGTTTATTCTGATGAAGAACAACAAAGCAATGAACATATGGACAATAGATCAAATATACCTAGATTAGGAACTCCGATTACATTAATAAAAAGAAATCAACCAAATGCATTTTGGCGCAAAACTAATGCAATCGGATTGACACCTTCAACAGATTCATTGCTACTGAATGAATCTCTTCCATTAAACACACAACAGCAGCATAATTTTCATAGGAATACAAGTGCAACAGAGAATCCAATAGCTTCATCAGGAAATCGTATAAAAGTACGACGAAGACTATCCCAACTTGGTCCGCCACAAACTTTACCCGATTCGTCATATGAATCACTTCGACAAAGTTCAGCAGCTTCACTTCATCCATCTATTGCACAACCTCCAGTCTTTACCGTACGTAGATCTGCTGCGCATCTTCCAACTGTTTTCCTGCATCAGTCTCCTGGACAGTCTTCAACAATTTCTGCTTATCGAATTCCTCAACAAGCTTTTCTTCATCAGTCTACTTCTTTACAACCTAAAACTACTTCTACTCAACAATTGCCTTCACAACCGTCTTTAGTTTCTGCATATCATATTCCAGCAAAAACTTCGGTCGTATCTGCTTACCAATATCCTCCTGTGCAACCTCAAACTGGTTCTATTCAACTATCTTCTGTACAAAATTTCATTGCTCCTTCTTACCAGTCGACTTCTGCACAAGCTCAGACCAGTTCTTTTCATCAATATCCACTGCAAACTTCATTGGTTTCTGCTGCTCAAATTCCTGCACAAACTTCCATGGTTCCTCCAGTACAATATCTACCTATACCGACTCATCAAATATCTTTACAACCATCTTCTGAAACCGTTCATGTGCAACAGACTTTGCCGAATACACAAAGTGTTCCTGCTGAAAAGCAATCCTCGTCAACTAAAAGTGAACCATCACTATCGACTATCTAATTACAATGCATTTCAGCATCGTCATACAGAAAGTGTCACTTAAAAGAAGGAATAATCATCAAGTTTAAGTATATTGCTTTCGGGGGAAAAAAATAGTACGTGGAAAAATGTTTCTCTGAGTAAAAACAGCTGTTGAACAAAAGTATGTAAAATATTTTATTTATCAATAAACAAAATAAGACGACATGAAAAACTCACATGGACAGAAAAGTGTCAAGCGGTAAACCTCCTTCAGAAACTGGATTAGGCAAACATAAATTATCTCCAATAAATCGATAACATAATAATCTAGAAAGAAAAAGAAAATCAACAAAGAAAATACTGTAATGTTTCAATTCATAAACAGATAAATTACCTTTCTCGAATAGTTTTACGTACAGCATCACCTGAATCTGCAAGCAGATCACGATAGAAATCGTTCGATAAAATAATACCCTTACGTACTACAGCAACATCAACAATTAATCTTTTATTAACGAAAAACAAAGTTTACTTGTATTTAAAATAAAATCTCAATATGTTTTACCTATCATCATAAAATCGTTTATTTTTATCATCAATTTTTTGTTGAAATGCTTTATGAACTATCTTTCGCTGAATTAAATTTGGAAAAATATGCTCTTTATCTTTTGATAAATAATGTGCTGGTACAATAACAACAATTTTTGAATCCGGATAACCATACGAATGAAATAGATCCACTGCTAATTTTATACCACGTGCAGAAAATTCTGAATCACCATATCTAAACAAAGCGATAGACCAAATAACACCGATGAATAATTGAAAATTTAGTACATAACGATAGTATTATTTTGTTGCAGAGCAAGATCCTATTCAAATACTCTCGAAATGTTTCCTAATAGAAATAGACGTCGCAATCGATTGAACGAACCAATGGTTTTTATGTGTACACTATATTCAACGGTTGAAAAGAGTCAATTGTTTTAATTTTAGAAATGCTAACATCAACTAGAGTACTAATAATATGACTTAATAGAACTTATTGTGAGATGCACAATCTCAGAAAGAAATGAAAGAAAAACAAAAATGATATGATGTTCGATGCAAACTCATCTCGAAAATATACGTATACTTTGTTCTTCTATCCGAAATGATAGAGGTTGAAATGAGCTACAAAATAGTATTAGAAACCTATAAAATAACACTGTTGACTATACGAAATGTCAAAGAGTAGTGTTGTGACCTGTTATTTTATGAATCAGCGTTCGGAATCAAATAGACACTTTTGTTTTCAAATATCCTCTTGATTGTGTTTCTTGCTGGTCGTAATACGTTCTCCTGATGTACCCTTTAAGAATAGAATTAAAACGTATATCTAATTGAGAAAAACTAATCTTTTGTAAAATTCTTTTTATGCATCATGCCTACAGGATGCCAGAGTTAAATTTGTGATTCAAAGTCAACACTCAACAAAATACTTTACAAGCCCATTAGTCAACTGGCTTAGTCAGAGATGGGAAGAGTATTTTTATCCACCCGTCGGATCTTTGAACCGTCTTTAACGAGATTTTCTGAAAGATCTATTTTACTTTTAATGTCGACTCAGTCCCTTCTATTCGTATCTAGTCCAACATCTTGACTCGACTATTGGTTTATTCAATCGATTTCGACGTTTATTTCTATGAGGAAACATTGCGAGAACATTTGAATCAGATTTTAATATGAAAGATATCGTATTCCTATAGTAAGTTGATATCATCATTTATTGAATATTCTTGTTAATTTAAAAAAGCTGAGCAATAGAAAACTTACGTTCTTCCAATATTTGCGCCATCAATAACAACATCACGTAAATTTCGTCCTTTTAATTTTTGATACATTTCACGTACGAGCTCATTATCATTTATATCAGATGCTTGTGGGCGGTTATTATGGTGAGGAGCAATTGTATTATGTTTCCTTTTAGTTGGAACAATAAGGGCGGTTATATCAGTCTCATGAGCGTTTGATCTAAGAATAAATACAGAAAAAAAAACGTTTGTTAACCTAGCTACGGCTGTAACTTACTCAGCGCCAGGAAAAGGAATCTTTAATTGTGGCTCTTGTCTAGAATAAGAAGGGAAACCACTTTGTTTTTGTTGTTGATTATCGTTGTTATCTTGTCGTATTTCTTCATTTCGTCGATCTTGCTCATCAACGGTTGTGAAGTGTTGCTCGAAATTATTTGTTAAAGATTCTAATACTGTTTCCGTTTCCGTTATGATTGATTCATCAGATACAAGAACATTTGATATAGCTTTTCGAAAATCATCTATCGCTAAAAATAAAACTGTCAATGTCGTTGAATGAAATACGAGCATATGTGATTGAGCTTTATCTTCAATTTCAATATGAACTAAATATTCTTTCATCAGACGATTCAGTAATTCATTATCACATAAAACTTGTTTATATGTAGGCGGATAAGGTATTGATTTTGTGTGTTTTGGTTCGATATAAGATAAAATATATTGCTAAAAAAGATCATTAGTCATTTGTTTTGTTTTCAAAAAACAAAAAATATCCTTACTTCAGCATGTTCACCGATAGTTTTATCATCACAATGAACTTGCACGTAAACATATTCAGTAGTTGTTGCAGCTGAATAATGACGAAACTAGTTTCTTTTATTAATTTGAAATTAAAAAAATCCAAATACATACGTATGCGATATCGTAGACGAGCATCAAAATAAAACAAAAGAAACTGTTCTCGATTGATTAAACGCCAAAAGTCATCTTGTTTTATTGTTAATTCTTTTCTCATTGTTATTTTTTTTTATTTCTATAAAGATTTATTTCGTAAAAAAAAGCAATGCAAATATTAAAATCTTATCTTTTCTAAATATTTCTTTATTAGAATTTTGATTCAAGAAAGTAAAAAGAAACAACCAAATCAACAAACCAAAAAGGCAAATTATGCACAAAGAAAATGATGCTTGTCGCAGCTAATATTTAGAAAAACAAAATGACCACATCATGATTATGATTTGTACAGAAAGAAAATCCTGAGAAATAGAGAAACAAGAACAAAAGAAAACAAAGAAAAAGCACAGCAATTAACGGCGCTAACAGCTAGTAGAAGCCATTGAACCTGGTCGCACTCTTGGATAAAGCTAATCGTAAGAATAAAAATTTAAATTAAATTTATCGGGTGACCCAGGTTAAATGTCCCTCTCAGTGTTTTTTCAATAACTTCATCGTTTTCATTTTCTAGACCTTATTTTTTTCCCAAAAGATTTGCCATTCAATTCTCTACAAGATTGATATTACAATTTTTTCCGTTGAAAGTTGAGGAAAAAAATTAAAAAAGAATATTCAACAGGTATAACAGCATCAACTTTCAAAGTGATTTTTAAAACAAACTCTTGCAAATGTTTTACAATGGCACACAAAACGACACAGAAGCAAAGATGTTACTGAATACTTTGAAGTGTACTCTTTCTCATCGTGTAGCTCAGAACTCGTTGAAATCAAACGGAAGATCGAAAAATCTGATTTTTTGAAAATTCTCTTCAAAATAGTTTAAATCAGATACTTGGCGCTAGATGAACTTAAAAAAATTAAAACTCAAATTTCACGTTCGACTTTGGTACAGTAGGCCATTTCGACCAAAATGAAAAAAAAACGAATGCAAAAGATGATATTTTGGCTTTGTTGCACTTCTTTTCCTAGGAGTATCGAAATTGCAGAGTGAAAGAGCTAAATTCTCGCAAATCTGACAGAGAAGATACTTAGAGTGTGCATTACAAGATTGAATGTGGAAACTTCTCAATTATGATCAGAAGATAGAACTTTTCAAAGGCTACAAAATACCTACATTGTTTAATTTTTATCGTCACTGGCCAACGAAAAAATCTGCACAAACTATTTTCCAGCTTTGAAAGTTGATGTTGTTATACTTGTTGAATATTCTTTTCTTAATCTTTTTCCTCAACTTTCAACAGGAAAAATGATAGTATCAATCGTGTAGAGAATTGAATGGTGAATCTTTTGGGGGAGGGAGGGGGAAATAAGGCCTAGAGAATAAAAATGATGAAGTTACTGAAAAAACACTGAAAGGAACATTCAACCTGGATCACCCGATAAAAAATATAAAAATTGTTATCACATACTCCAAGATAATTTCGTGGCACATATCCTTCTTGTTGATTAGTTTCATGTCTGGTCCACCACCATTCACTCTCATTTTCATCGCCACGTCTTAATATCCTCAATTGATCACCATCTTTGAATGTAAGTTCGTTATATTTGGCATCATCCGATGAATTACTGGGTTCAAAATCATATAAACCATAAACTAAACCATTATTTATTACACCCAAATCATTTTGTACAACTAAATAATAAAATACGTACGTTTAATAATAATATCAATTGATTAAATACAAATTTCAAATGGGACTCATTTTCAAAAAGCCTGATCATTAATAAAATACCGGTTTTAAGGCTGATTCAGAGAAGGAATAAATTCAGTTACCTTTTCTAAAAAAATCCATTTATTGGAAATATAAATAATCATTCTTTCCTTTCGAATTCACTATGGGGAAAATGATCATTGTTCAACAGTTCAACATCAAGTCAATAGATAATAATCAGAAAGAAGAAGAAAAAACAATCAAGATAGTTTTGATTCTTCATATATCTCTAGGCAATAATCTTTCTTTGTCTGTTGTTCAAATGTTACATAAATTTTAATGAATAAGATAGAGATTGAGGTCAAATGTATGATAAATCGTTATTTACTTCAATGATGATCATGTTTTTCTATTATCTTTTATTAAAATTATAAAATTACGGAAGAATCATCTGTGAGAATTTTTATGAACTGTCGAGAACTTACAATGCGTTTTATTTTTCATAATTAATCTGAATAAACATGATTTTCTATAAAATTTCGTTGGAAATTATTATCAATAACAAATGTGTAACATTTCACGAGCTGCTGAACAGATCTATGATGACTATAATTTCTAATTTTAAGCAGAAAAGAGATGTTCAACTTAGAAAATAATTCATCAATCGACTAATTTTGTATTTGTGGTCAAAAATACTGAAACTCGTTCAGTTTTTTTCTATTGTAACAAGTTAAAATCAATGACATACTATAGTTGAATAGTTATGCTTTATTCATTTTGCTAAAATAATCTATTTGATCTAGAGGCTATCATAGAAGAGAACAGAACAATCCAAGATTTTACTTGAATCAAAATTTTTATGTAAAATTGACATTAATCTCATTAAAAAATTGATAAATAAACTTTTATTATGACTATACATATACCGATATATTGGATTTATATTAGGATGAGGTGATCGAAATCAGTTCTCAGCACTATAACATAATGTGCGACGTGAATGTATCAAAATCTCTTCTCTCTTTTCATTCGACCTTTGTCATGTATTTTTCAATGCCTTTCGTTTTTAATTAGCATTTATCCCGATGAAATATTTTTGTATAACTTACATAAAAGATATTGTGAACAAGTGGCATAATTCTCTTCTTCTTCTTCACATTTTTCAGCAGCTGTTTCATTATCTCGAATAGTTGTTGCATAAATACAAGCACCATGTTCAACTAAAAATTGAACCATAGGTGTATTATTACAAGATGCAGCGCAATGCAATGGTGTCCATCCATCATTATCAGCAAAATTAATATCACAACCAAATTCAACTAAAAACTTGACACACTCAAAATTTGATGCACAAACAGCATTATGTAATGCTGTTAAACCTTCATCATTCGGTTGACTTGGATTTTCAACCTAAACAAACTTGAAAGTTTAAAAAAACGAATTGTTTTCTTTTTCAAATGTATGATTCACCTGTTTAGCAGCTTTAATAACAAGATCAAGTTCTCCAACAACAGCAGCATCAAGAAGAAGTGCCAATGGATCGAACATAACACGTCTTGTTAAATTTTTTGGTGTTGTTGAAGTTTTTAGTAATGATTTAAGATTGATAGAAGATGTCGTAGCTGTTGTTGTAATTGTTCTTGGTGATGATATAGCAGATTCGATACCATCGGAATGCTCACCTTCAGATTCTGTATCAGACATCATGGATTCAATCATTATTTGATGTTCGTCAGGATCTAATTGTTGTTCTTCATCTAATTTATTGTTAAGATTTGTTTGAATATCAATAAGATTTTCATAGGCAACTACTGTTGGTACAGGTGAAATTTTCGTATCAGTTAATAATTGATTTGATGAATCATCACGAACTTGAATTGCTTGAGTCTGAATATTATTATTATTGTTATTATTATTGGATGAAACATTTGATGAAAGATATTTTATTAAGGAATCTGCTGGATCTGATAATGAATGGCGTTTTTTTATTGTTGATGTAACATTATTAAAATGTACAGAAAGTATGTCATCATTTAATCGAAGATTGGGTGGTAATAATTGTTGTTCTGTTTTAGTTGTACTATCGATTATATCTGTTGCTTTTCTATTTAATAATGAAGGAGATATTGATTGATTTGATGTACGAGCCATATATGTTGCTGCTATTTCACTTTTCGATGCAAATGCTATTTTAGATTGTGAATTTGATGATGACATGCCATTAGTCTATAGATAAAAACAAAATATAAACGTTTGTTTTTCCTAATTCAAAATAATTAATATAAATATTTTTAACAAATAATTTTAGTCTCATGAATGTCCATTATTTAATCTGTACGAATACCAGAAAAAATTCATTCAATCTCAGTTTTTCTTGATTTATATTAACAGATATTTGAAAATATCTGATGATCTAAAAAATTAACTTTTTTGTATCTTGTTACGGTATAAGTAAATAGAGCACATTTCTGTTGACAGAGCTCACAAGCTGAGTAATTAGTCAATGATATATTCAGTAGAATTCTACGATAGATGTTACATTTAATTGATATTGCTCAAAAATTCTTTTTAAATAAGTAAAGATCAATGAAAACATGTTAGTTTAACTTATTTATGTAAAATACGTATTCGAAGTATGTATAATTTACATATTATACGAAGAACACTTGATCTTCCAGTTGATTTAATTTATTCTTATCGTTGAATAATCAAACAAATAAAAAAAACACCAATTTAAGTTAAAATATTTTTCCTGCGTTGATCACATAAATATTTTTAAGGATATAAACTGTAAACTTTTGAATAGGTTTTCTTTCATCAAAAATTTAAATATAGAGAGAGTAGTGAAGATTATTTTCTTTTTCTGGTTTTCTTTGAAATACTCGAGCATAATCTTTTAATAGTATGTAAAACACTTGAATGAAAGTTAAATAGGATGTATTCTTTCATTATCTAGCATCATTGTTTCAACAACTATTGAGATAATAACAAACCTTTTTTGGGCTATTTGAACTACTAATTTGTTCATTGATATTGGTAGGAGATGATGATGATGTAGCATTAAATGAATTTGCTAATTGTACCATACGCTTTTCGATTTCGGCAATTTTAACGTTATTTAAAGTATCTTGCACAGTATCAAAAGCAGTACGATAGCCAGCTGTTGAAGTAAAAGGTTCAACAACTGCTGTTGCTGTTGTTGTTGTTGTTGGAGATGTTGTCATCGATGGTGTTGCCATATTCGTACGATTCGATATTAATATACGTTTCTTTTTTAACCGCTGTTGAAGTTCTTCTATACGACGATCTAACTGATTTAATTCGGCTTGTTTCGATGCATAAACTTCACGTTGATAAGCTATCTTTCGACTTTGTTGTTCATTTAATTTATTTCGGATCTTAAGTTAATATAACAAAACAATTTCAACTTAAATAAAAAGCAAAAATTTACCATTAATTCTTGTTTTAATTTATCTAATTCATTCTTATTTTGTGATTGTTCTTTATTCGTTGTAATTTTTATTTTTCTCAATTGATCAAGTTGCTTTGTTAATTCATCAACTTTGTTTAATGCAATTGTTAATTCGTGTTCTTTGTCGAAAAATATTTGCTTTAAAATTTCCAATTCATTTGCTACAATAAAAAAAAATCATCTTTCACTTTTTTTTTCTTTCAAACAAACCAAGTGTTGAATTTGAATTTCTCTGTTGATTTATTTGATTCTGAAGAGTTTTTAAACGTAAATGTTTAATTTCTTGTTGTTCAACATGTTCTTTTAGACGTTTGAGACGTAAACTATCGTGTGATGTTTGCTGTTGTTTTAATTCTTGTTGTTTAAGATATTTTAGACGTTGTTCACGTGCAAGTAATAGCTGTTGATTGTGTTCAATCTGTTGTTGTTGTCTTGCTGCCATTTCTTGTAATTCAGATAGTGATAGATCCATTGATAAACTACTTATAGCAAACTAAAAAAAAATACAAAAAAGAATGGTTTGAAAAATGACTAATGCGAGATAAATTATTTTAAAATTACTCCATTTCCATTAGTTTGTTGTTGTTGATTGGCGTTCGTATCGTGTGGTGATGAATGATTATTATTGAGCGTTGGAGAGCGCATCGTTGTTCGTCGTCGATGAGCGTGATGATGGTTGTTGTTGTCTCAAAAAAGAGAAGAAGAACAACAAGGTAAACGTATGTACGACGACGATAGAAGGGTCAAACATTTTCTTCCCATTTCTTTTCTCTCGTCATTCATCCACTCCGAACATATACATAAATGCTACTACTGATCTTATGTTCGATGGCGACGATCATAATACAGAAGAGAAAAAAAAGGAAAGAACAATACATTCTATGTTCAAGCGAAGAGCAGGAACTCACTTGAGAGAAGAACAAGAAAAAAAGGAAAAGAAAAAAGCTGTTACTTATTGTTCTTATTATATTTAATGTAATCAGTCGATCGAGGTTATTTCTCAGCAAGAAAAAGTACGGTTAACATACCGTGTAAACGTCGTATAACAATCTTGAATTCTTCTATGGCTTGATTGCGAGTAATTACATCGAATAAAAAGTCACCCGGTAGAATCTCTCTTTCTAGATAAATAAACAAATGCATTTGACATTATCTGTAACAGGTCAATTCAAAAAGAAAATATTCCAAGGTTTTCATTTATGATTATTTGTCTTAAGAAGTTCGCTATTTATAATAAAAAAAAATTTCTCGAAAAAGAAAAAAGAAAATCTGTTGATATAATACCGAATCCAAGGCATGTTTCGACAAGTCGAGCTGTATTTGGATCAGGTACATAATGCGTTAAAACTTCTCGACATGTTGTTTTATTAGTTATTCGAATTATTTGACGTGTATATCGATGAGATTGATTTGGATGAGGATGATAAAGACAAATTTGAAGCTATAAAAGAAAGTTGTTATTAAAAACTATGTTTGATTCGAGTTTGAAAAAGATAAATCCGATTCTGTTTACTTGATCATCATTTATCATTGTTCATATTTATACATCAGATCTAGTAATTCCTATTGTTTTATTCGAATAAATTCAATGTCAATAAATAAAAGAAAGAAATGTATCCTTTCAATGTCATATTTATTTTTCTTTAACATACTATTGGTCTATTAACAATCAATACTATTATTAATCAAAATATTTGATTGATTTATCTATTCAGTGTCATTTCATGTCGAATGACTCAAGACAAGAAAAATCATATTGATAAAAACAATTTCCCAAGTTTATTTGCTTAAAACGCTATCATCGACTAGCGACAACTAGCATATGCGTTTGTATAACTTGATCCTTGAGGAATGTGAAAGAGAAATTTGATATTACACTACAATGCAATTTATCTATTGCTCTTTTGTTTTGATAGTGTTAAGATTATAAAATTTTCTTCATGAATGAGTTACCATCTATATATAGTTTAACTTTCATTAATTGATTCAATCACATAGAAAGAACGAGTCTTTTTTGTGCCACCGTATATAGCTTCTAGCTTTTGTACGTAGTTTCTTATGTTGAATTACAATACTGAAATGATTTCTTGCAGAGTTCTATTAACTACTGGTTATTCATAATAATAGAAGAAAAAGAAATCATTTTGTTTCTAATTTTATCTCTCCAGATTTTATTTTTGAACGGGTAAAACATTTTACTCCATCATGGTATAAATATGTTTTTTGCAGTAATACTGAACATACGTCTTTGATCAAAGTTCTTATTTCGGATAAAAACATTTCATTCTACGATAACTTATTCACTTTGTATTATTCTGGTACATCAAAATATGTATATGAACATCAAAATATTTGGAAATTATTCTTTCAGAAAGTTATGTTTTTAAATTTAAAGAAAAAATCTACCGCTGTTTAGGTCATATGTTTATTTGACTGTTTCATTGTTTATGCAATATTTTACAGTGTGTGTTTCATTAGTCACATCATATAATTTTACTTGAATAAAGAAGAACATAATTAAGATAAAACTAATAAAAATCATATAGAACCTATGTATTCATATATTAAACATTTAACAATCATCGCTAAACTTGCATGACTCGAAAATCATTCAGCCATACGGATCTGATCAATGAATTTAAAATAATACTGTTTGACTTTGACTAGCAGAGGAAATACTGATCGTCGTAAATATTTCGTTCATTTTTGATCATACATAAATCAAACTAAGCTCAAAGAATATCCCATTGAATTCTTTACGAGACACGTATCGAAAATTTTTCTATAGACAGCACAATAAAAATATGAAAAAAATTCGAAAGAAGCAACTTCCTAAGTCATTTCAAAATTATATTTAGAATCTTTTTTAGAATCTCAATAACAAGAAAACGCAATATGCAAACGTTTTTTTAAAGCTCTATCCAGTCTGCTCTTTCCCATCACGTCAGTAAAACGTCGTTGGAAGTAAATTGAAAGTAAAAAATCCTGACTTTTCCAAATTCTATTAAACAAAAGTTAAAACCCGATATTGTTGGTTAACTGAATCGAAGAAGATAGTTTCAATTCCACTTTTGCCTATGAATCTAGTGTATTATTCATTTTTCAACAAAGATAATAAAATCTAAAGTCAACAGATGCTATTTTCACATATCTATGCCTCTTTTCCCAGGAGCTCCGAAACTAAAGAATGGTACAGCTAATTTCTCGAGCATCGTGAAAAGAAGTTTAGTGCTGTACATCGTAAGAATGAGTATGGAAATAATCAAATGACAATGGATTGGTAGAGTACTTCAACGACTAGAAAATGTCTACATTCTATTTTTATTGTAACCAATGTTCAACAACGATATGTTTCAAAAAGAATTATAAATCTTTAGAAGTTTCTTCTGTCGAACGTGTTCAATATATTTTGTTTTGCTTTCTACCGAAAAAACGTTGGATGCGTATCTCGTAGACAATTACAGGGGATATATTTTGGGTGTAATTCTATCTATCTATCATCAAACATGAACAAGATATTCACGAAATACAAAGTGTGCTATTTTTTCTTATGTACCAGGTCAAAATTTAGATTAGAAATTTATTCATAAGATAGTTTCATCATTCTAAGAATATATTAAAAAGTTTCAATCAATATGATTACTTCATTCTTAAGATCTTTAACATCCAAAAGTTTTCATTTTTTCTGATCATTCTACACAGTCGCTTAACTTTTGCATATTCAATATCTCAAACATACAACATGAATGTAGGCAGAAACTTTTAGGATAGTCTCTTAGAACAATTACAATTATTTGTATAAACTAAATGTTTTGCCAAAAATTCGATTTTCAGTTTTCCTGTTAATTCTTCATGTTTTAATCAAAGTTGATGTAAATGTGTAGAGCAGACCAATTCATTCGAATTATTTTTACAGGTTTTTCTAATCTACAAGGTGTTGCTGCACGTCGATAACACAAGCTCGTAAATAGTGAGTAAATTGCATTGAGTCATGCTCTTGTAATTGTGAAAAACGAAAACAATATGTAAGTTCAAGAGCTAAGAAAAAGGTCATTTTCTTTTATTTCACTCGTTTGTTTATGAAATACTGCATTAATCGTACGAAATGGCCACAATGAGGATTCTCGTCGTTCATTATTTAGTCCATATAGTGTCGAATCACGACGTAATGGATGTCGTTTTGGTGGCGATGATGTAATTGTTGGTTGAACTGTTATTGACAAGGGAAACGAAGGTAACTGATCAAGTACAAATGGTGGTGGCCATTGTTGATGTACTTGTGAGAAGGATGATCGATTAATTGATGATCGATCGACAAGAAATGGAATTTCTTGTAGACTATTAGCAGATGTTCTTGTCAAAACAAAATCAAAGAAAAAGAGTATATAATTAATTATATCATTGATTCAAATATTACCTTGCTTTATTACTATTCATTGGTATCCGAGAATTAAGATCTTGTTGCTGATCATGTTTTAGTCTAAATAAAAATTGATCTTTCGTCGATAATAAAAATAATAAAATAAAATAATTAATTCTAAATTATATACCCAAATATGTACGTAAAACATAATCGAATATTTTTACATAATGATTTAGGACAACATCTAACACTATGTGGTGATCGTTCTTTTGATGAGCATTTATAACGGCATATCATCCAGCCTAATGCTAATGTTACAAAAATGCCAACAACTGTAGGCCATATAATGTCTTTATTGTCATTATATGCATCATACGATGATTCTGTTGGAGATTGCTCAATAAATATTTTGGTTGTATTCACATTTATTGTCATTTTTATTAGATGCCAATGAGTTTCAATGGTTTGCAATAGCTAAAATGTTATGCAAATGATAAAATGATAGAATAAAAAGAAGCTAAATTTATATATTACATTTATCTATAGAGGGAAATAGCAAATACAATTAGCTTCCACCAGAAAGAAAAAATACAACGACTTGACGGATGTAAAAAGAAAACTAATGGTCGCATAATGAAAAAGCTTGTTAGCGCAGCCCCTTTGGGGCTAAAATGTGGAACTCACATATATCCATTAGGCTTACTAAAACAATTCAAAATAGTTCATCTGAAAAATCTACCTTGATTCCCAAAACCTATAATTAGGTCATTACCTATTTGCTTGTGCCTGTCAATGGAATATTAGTTGTTAGCTCGTATATTTAACAATGACAGAGACTAGTTTCTATGGTCTGTAATGGGTCAGCATTGCTTTTTTTGTGTAGTCTGTAATTAAAAAAGGAAGAAACAGCAGCCTGGTTAGTCAAGCTTCTAATTAGCTCAATTTTAAACTCATTAAAGTCTGTAATGGGGAGGGTGTGGGGAGTCACAAAAATCTCGCTTTTAAACTTACACGCACTATTTGCTTCGAAAATATATGTGAGTTTCACAAAAGAAAAAACAGAAATAAGAGATTTATTTTGAAATTTCAAACTCTAGAAGTTGTAAAAATTTTCTTTACGAGTAATATCTATAAACTAGAGCATTGCTTTTTTTTGTTCTATCAGTATTTATTTTTGTTGGGATTCAAAGATACATAAATATAGATGGCTGAAATTAAATTAAATAATGAGCTTATTCGGTCGGTGGGTAGATTTAAAAGTCGGATCTTATGCAAATTAAGACATAGGCGTGATTATTTTTAAGTTTATTACTTTTTCTCTTCCTTATTTGACAAGAAAAAGTATGACGAGAGAAAACTATTGATTTATTTTCTGCTATGCATCTTGTTATTTTTAACTTTTTCCGAAGAAAAGCTGAGATCAACTCAATTAACTACTCGTATAAAATATCGACATCGAGGAAAAGAAGAAGTAAAGAGAAATAAAACTATGTGGTAGGTATAAACGGAATGAGCATTATAAGGAAAATGCTTGACGGCAAAGAACTCCAAGAGGAAAAAGAAATGTCTTGCTTATGAAAAACTGCTAGTATAAAATTAGATGTGATTCTATGCACGAATCTTTTCGTTTTTAATCAAAACAAAACAAAAGTTATTTTATGAAATAAAAGAGAGTTATAAATATATACTTGATGAAATTTCTTCTTAATAAAAGATAACTTCTAAGGGAGTTTTTGGATAGAAATCTATAGAAATCATTGAAACTCTTTTGAGGAAATGTCTTTACTTAATGAAAGACATGGCATTATGTGACTTATAAGTCAAAATAGTTTAATCATGTTTCTCTAAGGTGTCGTATTCTGATGAGTGACAAATGCGATATAATTTGTAGAATGATATTCTGAGGAGTTATTCAGTATTTTATGTTCTTTGAGGCATTCTATTTTTTGAGTAGAAAATTAATTAGTTCCATGAAATGATAAAAAACAACATTTCCATACATATAATGTTGTCTATCGTCGTAAACAGTCGTATGACTGTAGAAATCATTTTTTTTAAGTAGCACCGCTCATAACCTTTTCTTTCTGCTTCAATTAACTCAATATTCTCAACTTTGATAAACAATTATGTCTATATTTGAAAAATCATTCGGCAGTTTCCTTTCATTATTTTATAATGTGAAGTCAAAGTGATCTTAAACTTTCAAGATTTCTATTGATTATTATTTACGGACAGCCATTCTAAAATATGCTAACATTATTACATATATTGCTTGTCTTATTTTTTGAAAAACATTTTCTCTATTTTGTTGAAGGTTTATATCGCGTTTCTGCTTAAAAGAAAAGCTTTATCTAAACGGATAATATTCTTCAACCGTTGAAGTATAAAATAATGGGTCGATTAAGCATTGACAAAAGATGAGAAATAATGCTTTTATTTCTAAGATAGAATGATATATTTATATTGAAACTGTCTGCTAGCGAACATTCAACATCCGTACCATCCTATACACATGAATGAAACCACTATTTACTAAATTCTCTTAAAAAAATAGAGAAATATTAGAATTAACTAATATGCAAACATGATTAAAACGCCTAGTTAAACAATTTAATTATTAAAATTAACAGTTTATTTGCAGAAATTTGAAAAACTCGAATGTAATAGTTAATTTGTAACGAAATAAGGTAATGACTATTCAGTAATAAGAACGAACTTGAATATTTACGAATTATGTGGAAAAATATTTTCAATTCGAATCTGAATTTTTAATATTTGCATGAGCTTTTCTCTATAGCGTTGCTCAACATAATTCTCAGGTAGATAAATTGAAAGATGGATTTTCCACGGTCGTAGACAAGTTTTTTTAAAAGTTAATTTCAATATGTTTTCATCATTATAAATAACGCCCTCATCAATTATGTTAGTTCGCGCACTTAAGAGTATTAATTCATCAAGAATAATCCCATGTGATGACAATATGACATAGCCATAACCTCGTTCATGTAATTCCATTTCTTGTTTACGACGTAGACAACGAGAATATCTTGACATCTTCACATTATAATAATAACTTAATTGCTGTTGCCATAGATTATCTTCTAATTTTAATTCAAGAAATTTATTTCGAATCGGATCTAACGGATTATGACACGAATAACGTATCCATGAATAAATCATAAGTATAAATAAGAATGGTGAAATACTAATTGATATTATTGAGAATACTTGAAAAACGATGACAAAATCACAAATAGATGAGTTTGATTGAGGATTTCTCAAATTTTGACATCGATTAGATGATATCCAATAAGCTACCCAAAAAACAACTCCTAATGTCATTGAAAGCAACGTGAAATAACTGAAATCAATACATCTTCGATGAACTCGACTTGAATATATATCATCAAACACATCAATAACAGTGCGTGGTAAATTAAGAATTTCAGAGCTAATAGTTGATTGATTCGTTTGAAGAATGGCTCTAGGATGGCGTTGTTCCTCATCAATACTTGGCATTGTTATAAGACTCATTGTACTCCTGCCGCCTTGAAACATACTGTCTGTACTATCTTTTTTTTTAAATGCACAAGATAAATATTTTTATTTGTTGTTGAAATAGTTATCTTCTGCGTTGTATCTTTCGTTTTTATCGACCCAAAAAATGACATATTAATAGAAATGATTCATAAGTAAAAAGAATTTTTAACACGAGACTTTTCATCGAAAAACGTAGTATTGTCCATCTTTTGTTTAGATTCATACTTTGAAATTTGATACTAAATAAAAGAGAGCTACTAGATTCATCATCATCATCATCATCTATTTATCTTGTTAAAATTGATATACTAGATTCATTTTTATAAAAAATAATACTATATGAAGTCATGCCATTGCAACGAAAAACCACGCGAGATTGACGCAGAGAAATGATATGTCAAGATCCAACGAAATATAGAAAGAGGAATAAGAATGAATCTCTTGAATTCAAGGATTTAACTAGAAATCAAGAAATTACACAGGCAGTTTGTTTCCTATCGAACCTGAATACGACTAAAATGAGTGTATGGAAAATAATACCTACTATAGTATTAATTAGACTTCAATTAAGGAAACGAAGAACTTCATGAGTTCATTGTTAGATGATCATCAAATAGAGTTTTTGCGAATCGTAGCAAAGAAAAAAAAGTAAAGTTCGTCTTCGATGATGATGATGTCGTTTGAAATACCTTAATTTATTAATAATCCAAAAAATATTCAGTAAATTATTGGCAATGAGTAAGAATTATGATTTTTCGATTTGAGCAAAAAGTTACACTAACTAATTTCTTTGCCATAATGTGAGAAGATTTATTAGAATCCGCATCGCTTCAACTCAGTAGATATGGTTGCTCTTTTCTTATCCATAAAAATTTATTATGTTAGACGGCAGTCATTATTTCAAGTATTTACGAGAGATAAAAAAAACAAATTCATTGATTTAAATTTCATATTTATTGACTGTTATATATTTAGCGTAGTTTTAATTTCATTGCACGATAATATTATCAAAATTTTCGTCCATTGAAACAACAAATGACGTTCTATTCCAAAAATAACTTATAATCAACCAGTTCATTCTGGTGAAAGTCAAAAACGAATCTACGCATCACTTAATATCTAATTTCACACTGTAAACACATCCGAATTAGAAGAACATTACAACTTTCCGTTTTTTGTTTGGTTTATGAGATATCTCTTGTTGAAAAGGAGTTCAAATTCAGTTGTCATTCGTGAGCTGCATCGAAAAGTAACTTCAGAAAATAATAGAACGTCGTCGAAGATATAAAAGTGTAATAACATCAGTAAATTTTGACATTAGTCCGCAACAGAACCTTTTCTTCGTCATTGCTACCATGAATTTGTATTTGTTTTTATAAAAAGGAACGCTACATATTTTCTCGTACTCTATCTCCGATTGTTTGTCATATGTTCATTCGTGGATCAACTTGTTCACATATTTACTTCTCATTAAGTGATTGTTTGTTAGCTTTCTTTTTGTTGCTGATCATTTCTTTTATAATTAAAAGAAAACGTTTACTTGAATAAAATATCCAATTTGAATTACTCTTTTTAATTCAATTAATACAGAAAATATTGAATTAAACTAGAATAAAATAGTTAAAATGATGACTTTTGAAAGAAAAATTTGAATATCTTTGTTTCTTCACTTTAATAATTGAATTGACACAAGGAATATGAGAATAGTAGAGTATTTACTCAATAAGAAATTACGCGAACGTCGTGTCTTAATATTTTTCAGATTGGTGACCGACACAAAACACGCACAAAACAACGCAAAGTACAATTAAAAGTCAATAGACAACTTATTCAACTGATTCTTTTTCTTCTTTACCGTTCTGCATATTTTTGACGAATGTGTATGGCAATAGAAAATCAACATATCAATAGTTGAATTTGAAGATTAAGAAAGCAACGAGTAGCAACAAGTGTCTGTTTCTCTTTTTGTTTACAGAATAAGTAATCAAGTAGTAGAAAAAGAGAGAAACAGAAGAAAGAAAAAGCCGAAAGTCATAATATTGAATTACAGAAAGATGCATGAAAGTTCTAATGGATTCATGGTTAATCATGATGAAGTAGGTTTTTTTTACAGAGAATAAATTAATTCTTTTATATTGACTCGATCTAACAAAATAGCAAGCTCGTTCTTACTCAGGTATGAATAGTGTTATTTTATCACAACAAGCAAGTCGATTTTGGATACCTTTCGATGTAAAACTTTTTGAAAGTGAGTTTTTTTCGCATTTTGTTTTTATCGACGATTACATAACAAATAAAATTATTTTTGTAGCACTTACACCAAGAGAATATTTGGAGAACTACTGTCGAGTTAATAATCGTCGACATACATTGTACAAACGTATTTTTGACAAACATAAAGATAACGAAGGAGAACTAAGTGTTAAGGTAAAAGAAAACGAACAACCAACTGTTACAAGATTTAACAGTATAGAAAACAAAAGTATATGTCAAAAATGAAACTATATAGTGTATTGCAGATTGTTAAAAACTCTCGAATATTTCTCTTTTTCATTTGCATTTTTGTTTTCTTTGAAAGAATATTTTTGAAAATATTTAGGTTCTTCCAGATGCTTTATCTGATTCATATATGCGTACAATTGATACACATTTTATTACACAAGTGATTGGCCTTCTTGATTTGCCATCAAATGCAAAAATTAGTCTTTCACAATTCGAAGGTATTGCTGCATTTTCTGAACGATATTTTTTTAATATTTTTACGTAAGTTTTTCTTAACTTAGCTCTTCATTGTATTAATTTTGTTTTCTTTACGTAAATAGTCGTCAAGATAGTATGGAACCACAATTACAAAAAGAGATTTTAGAAAAACTTGATTTTTCTTCATTAAAATGGAAATTAGTTGGCATAAATATTTCATCTTCACTGCGACAAATTCTTCGACTTATTTAAGCTTTACCGGTTTCTTAATTCTTTAATAAAATCTAAATCTAAATGTATATTTTAGAACATCATATTCTTTTCCAACAAATGATTTTGAATTGAATACAGAAGTTTTAAATAAATAAGGTTACTATAAGAAAGAAACTTTTTTTTTCTACATAGAACTCATCAATAGTTTTGATACCAATTTTGTCAATCTTAGAAAATAATTTACATGAAAGAGTTCTATTTTTGCATGAAGAAATAGTAAAATGACTAAACCTATAGAGTGATCTTGATAGTTGAGCTTTTAATCTATAAATTTCTTCACACTTGAGTTTGGCATAAAGAATTAATTACAGAAATGAAATAAAATCATATTTGTTCAATGAATCCTCATTCACATTAATAATCTTCGATTTGAATTGACTTGAAATTGTTTCTTCAGGGTTTAATGCATCAGTTTGATTTCATACGTGAGTACATTATGAATAGTGTCCTGCAGGAATATAGGTTTTTCACGCACAAACCAGAAATAACACTAATCAATAGTTAACAGACGCTTTAATCATCGTTGTATGATTTTTGAACTTTTAGTTCATATGCAAATTAAATTGTTCAACACATTCGAAAATTTTTGTTCCTTTTTTTATTCTTGATCTTTTAGCTTTTCCTATTATTTTTATACTTTTAGTCTCTACTCACGTGTGCACTTGAGTTTTATTTTAAACTTATCTTTTTACTCTTTCTCTAACAGCCAAGATGGTCTACAATTTCAATCTTTCTGTGAATTTTGCTCTATCTCTCAGAGAAACTTCATGTTTGGTTAAGTTCTTAATTCTATCTTGTTGCCATGCGTGAAGATGCTTTTTATGCAGATGAAAATAATGCCAATAGAGCGTATGAAAGGTATCCTACATATTACACTTTCATAGTTCTGAAGTCTTCTTTAGTATCGCAACCAGCTGTACTTTTATTTTTATAGCTTAACTGCAATATCATACTTATAGATTTTTAGCTATAGTTAGATTGGTACTCAATCATTTTTTAAATCTCCCTGAATATCATGACTGCTACTTTTCGACATTTGCATGAGCATCTTGTCAGCAGAGTTTTAATCCTTCACAGAAATAAGGTGCGGATGTAGATTTTCTGCGTTCAAAGTGACATCGTCATGGTTCAAATTTGATGTCAATCTGACAATCTATCGACAAAAGATGTTCTCTATTGATTAATCAGTACAAGCCGTTGAACGATCGAGACATGAGCGACCTAGAATATAATTCGGAATCAATATAATTTACAGGATAAAGTAATTTCCTAGTAATTCTATATGAAAGTAACATGTTATGGATTATTTATAAATTTTTCTATTCTACGTCTAGTTTTGATTCAAGTTAAAATATAATATATTTTATTAAATGATTACGTATGTGACTTTGTATGAATCTATGTATTTCTGTGAGATATGTTTGCTTGTTGTGATACATATAATATATGTCATATTATACATTCCCTTTGTAATCATGTTTACATAAACATAAGGAACATAACATAGAAAATTTCTCAATCGAAATTTGAACTTTCTAATCATTGAGTAATTTATATTAATAAATGAAAAGAGCGATTCTTTTGAGAAAAAAAATCAAAACAAGACATCAGTAAACATGTGTTTTCAAAAAGATAAATTTATCTTCATGTTATATGAACGTTAATGTTATTATATTGATGAATGCTAATTACATCTTGATCATGTTTTGTGGTTTCAACTTGCCTAAAATCTGAAACAACATTTGAATTGCACTATTATACTCTATATTGCCGATGTTTCCAATTCGAAGTAAAATATGTATATGCGTTTCTATTGAGACATATATATTATAGCAGGCTTGACTTTTCACTATCTAAAGAATTCCTTTGGTTTACAATACATTTAGGCAATTAGATAAAATTTCAAATTCACAAGAAAAATTGTTTTTTAAAAGTATTTACTTTTTATTTTGTGCAAATTTCTCATATGAAATTTAATTGCAAAATGTACAAACATCCATTTCTTTGGTATTTTAAAAGCAGTACAGGGGAACAAAAAAAATACAAAGGAAACCAACAACACCTTGAGAGAAAATGAAAAAAAAATGAATACGATTAGAATAGAAAAAACTGGACCAGCCAGATATATCATATCACAGATAGAATACAAAAAAAAAGAATGAATGACTCTTCTTCGACATACAAGTTAGTTTTATTGTAATTTTTTATTATTAAAGATCATCAGCATCAAGATTTGTTTTCATTGATGACATCAATGATGTTCGTTTTAATGTTGCTGCTGGTGGTAATGGTGGCATTTCTCTTGGATTGATATACATATTTAATTTTCTTGATGGAATTTCTTTAAGAAAAGCACTTACACCACCATTCGTTGATGATGATGATGAATCAAAACTTCGAAATTTATTGGTATTATTATTTGTATTTGATAATGTTGTGAATGTATCAGAATCTTGTGCTGTATGTGGACTTGATGATGAATTTGATGTTGATGCTTGAAAATAATCTCGATCATCTGCGTGAAGAAATGTATTTGATGCTTGTCTATGTTTAAAGTGGGAATGAAGACGACGACGACGATAGCGACATAGGATTATTATGCAAAGCATCAAAAGACAACCAAATAAAAATGATATAAGACTAACAAGTATTATATGAATTAATGTAAAACGCATTTCACTAATGGAATCAATCAATGGAAACGATTTTAATAATAATGGACATGGCGAACATAAATGTTCTTCGCGTGATTCACCTTGACAAGAATTTGTAAAACACATACGTGTACGATATTTTATTGAACGTAAACGAGATGATGTACATAATGAACATTCAGACCAATCTGTCCAGCAAGACCAATTACTCGATTTCAATGATGTACATGATAAACATTCCCGTTTTTCAATATCACTTCCTGAACAACGTTTTCCTAAACATGTCCGACGACGAGTTTCGATAGAACCAAGTATATCACAAGCAGGATAACATTCTATTATGTGGAGAAAAAAGAAACAGGAATTATTGATCAATCTTTTTTTTTCTAATTAGAAATAAAAATATTTACCACTCCAAACTGACCATGGTGACCAATCATCAAAATTCAAATTATCTAAAGAGTCTTAAATAAAATAAAACCAACGAAAAAGAATTTTTATAGAAATAAACTTGAATTAAATAATTTACCTGTTTCTTGACAATCATTTCCTCCTTGATTATTACATACTCGATACATAACTGTATCTGATGTTATTTCTGGTAGCTGTTGACCAGATGATGAACCAATTGTACATACAAAACGAGTTCGTTTTTCAGTAATAAAACCATCTTTAATAGGATTTATAGTGGGTGTCCAATCACTCCATAATGTTACTTGTTGAACTAAAATATAAATTTTCTTTTCATAACTCGGATAATTGAATAAAAATGCGACATGTATTGTATATATTTATCAAGTGACACGTGTAGGGAATACTAGATTCGTTTGGATCTTTTTTTTGCATGAAACCCGTTACAGAATCCTTAAAATTATTTTTCCATACAATAGATTTGCCTAATTGATTTTCTTTTAAGTCAATTTTATGAATTCTTCAACAAAATACTAAACTTAAATAAAATTTGAATAATATTTCATAGGAAAAGCAATTAAGTAGTGTGATTGAAATTTCAAATAATCTTGAATTAAAACTAATTCAGTCCTTTTTGTTTAATGATAAACATACTTGGACATGGTGATTCATTGCATAAACGTGTTTCTTCTAAACATTCAAAACATTTATCTCCATTGCTCAAACAAGTTCTTCGTCGTTTTTGTATTCCACCACCACAAGTTCTTGAACATGTATCCCAATCTATACATATACATATAGAGAGAGAGAGAGAAAGACTGTTCGGTTGATGCGCTAAATAAAAAAATAATTGTTTTTACCAGTCCAAGAACTTAATCGTGATGATTGTTCTGAGCAAACTATTTCTGGACATAATTCTTCTTCACGCTCTGCTCCGATACATAAACGACCATTATTTTTTGGTTCAGGATTTGTGCATGTTCGTGTTCTTGATCGATATGATTTTCCGCATGTTTTCGAACAAAGACTCCATTCGCTCCACGAAGAAAAACCGCCATGAACTAGTAAACGGATGAGAAGAAGAAAAACATCATTTCATAACATAATAAGCATGTTCTTCTTTTTTTGTTTATTTACCTTCACAACGCGTTATTTCCACATTTGATCCTTGACATAATCGACCACCGAACTGTGGTGTTGGTTGTGTACATGTTCTTGTACGACATTGACATTTCTCACCTGTTACTTGTTCACACGTAAACCATGATGACCATGATGTCCAACCACCATCAACTAAACGAATAAATTATATATAAATAAATAAAAGGAAAAAACCTCTACTATTAATAGGCACATACTTGTTGTATTAATAATAGGACATGTCAATAATGGACGAGAAGAAGGAAATGTCGAGGATGATTTTGTGAATAAAATGCATCGTTGTTGATTGTTATCCCATGTACAATATGGATCCATAGCAGATAAACATAAGTTACTTGTATTAAATCTATCGCAACGTGCAACAGATAATTTCACGACTGATATCGTTGTTGTCATTACTATTTCTTTCTAAAGAGAAAAAAAGGACATTTTTCAAAGATCAAAGAAAAAATCTCATCATTTACCGTTTCTAAGATAAATTCTGCCTTATTAATTTTCCATTGATGATGTGGAGTATTAGTTGGTTTCAGTTGAATATGTTCAATTAAACATAATTGTTGATTATTTATCAGCGAATATTTTCTTAATACTAAGCTGTCATCAGTAATAACAAATAAAATTGTTATACCATAAAAATGATTAATTAATAAATGTCCAATACGAATATTATCCAATGTTACTGCATCATACGATGATTGAAGTACACCTGATTGAAGAACTGGCCCTGATGATACTAAATTCTCATTTGATTGATTTGGTTCACACTTGAAACAAAACAAAAAGAGAAAAGAAGTGTTTCTACATAGTTTACTCATATGATTGAATTTACTTTTTCCGATTCTTGTTTTACTGTAGATGGTAACCAATATGATTCATTCGATTTTTGTGTTAAATAAGGAGATGAAAATATCCGTTGTAAATCATCAGTTTTATATGTACATATCGCTGACCCGGATAAACCACTTCTACAATAAAATAGAGTAATAAAAAAAATCTGCTAAATTATATTCTATGTAAAATATGATTTAATGGATATAGTTAATGATTAAAAAACAATCCTTTCTACTATCTACTTAAAAGCATTCTTTCTTTGATATCACTATTATCTTTACATATTTAATTGATGAATTTCTTTCTTCGTATACGCTTATACGTTGACGATACTTATAGTAGAACAATTTCTATTTAATGCAAAATATAAATCAAACAGATTGACAACATGATATCACATATAAGGATGACGTCAGTTACTAAACAATCCATAGAAATGGTAGCACAGTATTATTAATATAATACAACCAAAGGCTAACGTAGAGGATGTGTGAGTGAACAGACATCATATATGAGCACATTGGTGTAGATAGATAGCCTATCTTGTTTATTCTTTCATACTATTATCAAAAAGATTGTTTTTTTGATTTTTTATCTTTTGAATTACTAACATGAAAGCTATTATATGACGAAAAAACAAATTCTATAGATCACTATTGATCAGTAAACTTTTGCTTGATCTCTGTAATAGAATAAGAACAACTTCAGACATAGTCTACAGTGTTTCACTGATAACGTCTGTTAGAATTGAGGTTATTTCCAAATTTCTATTTCTGTATGCTCTAGTCTTCACGTTAAATCGGCTATTACAAAATAAATTTACAATAACCAATCATTATCTATGACTATTGTTACCTTGGTAAATTAAAAGCTCCATAAATCAAATTTGATGTGTGATCAAAAAAAACTGATTGTAATTCATTATAATCAAATGAAGTTATTTCGTTATTTATTTTTTTTGAACATGATAAACGTAATTTTGAAAATGAACGAAATGTATCACTAAATTTCATTGTACCATCATCATATTTACATACACGAGCAACACGAGAATAAACAGTCTAATAAAAATAAATCAATTTGCTGAATTTAAAAACGCAATAAATGTTTTAATTGTTTTTGTCTTACTGTTCCGCATGATAAGTGTTCAAGAGCTATTTCGCGAAAAAATGTATAAACATATGAACCGATATCTAATATGCGCACAAAATATGGATCTAAGAAAACAAAAAGTAAAAATAGTCATCATTAAAAGATAAAAAAATATTTTCATCGCAGAATTTCAATGTTTTGATATGATTTAAGTTTTGAAAAATCATGAAACATACTTCTTAACCAATTCGAGTCGTGTTGTTGTGTTCGTAGTTGTTTTCCTTGACTGAAACTTCTTTGTATCAAAGGATCATTGACACCAAATACTGGTTCATTACTTGTTGCTGAATAAAATTCACCTATAGAAAAATGATCTCATACTTCTTTTACTTTTCTGAAATACAATTTAACGTTCAAAATTAAACAAACCAGTATCAATTAAATTATATGTTGATGGAAATTGACTATTATAAGGAGATTTTCCATCACCAGAAATAAAATTTTCATTCGGAATTATTGTTGATAAAGAATCAAGACGTCGCCACATACAAATAGGACGATAAGAATTAGTACCACATGCTAATAATAATTGATCACGTGAACGAATAGCTAATACACGAACATAATTTTCGCATTGATTCTATATTTAATTAAGAAAGAAAAAAGCACAAATAGAAAAATTTTAAACTTAAATTAAACAAAACATTGCTTACGAATGTTTGAATTTGACTACGACACATATTTATTTCATTTGATGAAGATTCCCATTTGAATCTTTCCAATAAATGAAAATTATGTAAAGATAAACGAATTATTGCATTTCTAAATCAAAAACAAAAAAAGAAATAGAATTGTATTTTTTCATATTGTTTGAATTAATGATCAGACATTGATTAGATCAGTTTGTTTTGGTGGGGCTTCGAAAAAACGCAATTTGATGCCTTTTCCCCCTTTCTCAATATGTTGCTGTGTCAACAAAAGCATTGTATGTTTTGGATATAATTAGCTCCTCGGTCATCGTCTTACTAAGGCTTTATTTCTCTGAGGTATGCTTGACATCCATCAGACTCTCCTTTTCTCACTTGTCAATTTATTTAAAGTGCTCTTTGGGTGGTAGTAGTCATATCTATTATGATGAGGTGGAGAAAGAATAAAGTGTCCATAGGTAAACATGTCTGAATTTACAAGTAATTATCATGAAGTAAAAAGAAAATAAAATACAAAATGAGCTATTCTTTTACTTGGCTCCAATAATAATTTGATCTCTTTGTGGATCAATGGTGATTGCGTCAAAACTATCATCATTTTCTTGATAAATTTGAACATTTCGTAACATTTCTAAACAAAATAAAAAGAAACAATAAGATCAAATGAACATATAATCTGTCTCTCATTTTAAATCTACGTTTCATATGCATATGCGATAGACTCAAATTTCCTTCATAAGTATATGTGATTCTAATTTGATCAAAAACGTTCCAGTCTACTCGTTTTTTTCCGCTCGAACATATAGCCGTTCATTTTCTAATCAAATAATGACGCCGACACAACAAGAGTCTCTTGACTAATTTGCAAGACAAACATAAATGAACCAATAGAATAAACTATTCGTTTTATTCAACAGGTGACGAACGTAAACTTTAGAGAATAGAACTATTCATTCACAGTTGTCACACATTCAAGAAAGACAATAGAGAAAACTTTTATTCGTCATTGTTTTTATTTCTTTAAAGAATAAATAAAGAACTTTAGTTTTTATTTGATGAATAACTAAATATGAGCAATATGATAATATTGAAGTCTATCGATAAGAATTTTTAATATTGTTCAACTGTCTCTTTTTATTTTGTTTTGCGCCATTATCTTTACTCTCGTTTTAATACAATTGATCTCAGACACATTTATGTATACGTATAGAATTGTTGATCTAGTCTGTCTAGTAAGAAAAAGAGAAGAAGAAAAAAACGAAAGGTGTTGATTCTCACACATACATACCATTGTACGAGACAAATCGAAAATCCGATGGATCATTGGTCACAATCGAACAAATATGATTTTGAAAAAGATAAAGAATCATAAATAATACGTTTAAAAAATTTGTTTCCATTGTGAATATTGAGAAGTTTAATTTTTTTCTCTACTTCTGTTTCTAAATTCAATCTGAAATAAAAGATAGATTGAATGAATAAATGTCTGAACAATTACGAAATGTCCGCGTTGAGCATAAAGAAGAGAAACAAAAATGAAAGAAGAGAACAAGAAGAAAATTTTCTTTTCTCTTGTTTTGCGTTCTGTTGTCTAAGAAGAAACGAGAAAAAAAATTGAGAGAAAGAAGATTTAAATCGGCATCCATCTTTCTGTATCAATGCGGAAATAGAAACGAAGGCGTGAGTTCAATAATTCTAACGATTTAGCACGATAACAAGGACATTGGCGTGAAACGGTGAAATCTTTTTTCTTGTTTCGATTGAAATATAATCATCGAGCTAATCTTAGGGGTGGGGAGAAGAGAAAAGGGAAGAGAAGAGAAGAGAACCTTTTTTTAATGTTACGTCATACGATAATACGGTATTCTACAAGAACTGAGTAAGAAGAAAAAAAATAACATAAAACGGAAGTGCCCATGGTGACCAACTGCTTGTTCAACATGTCCGAATAGTCGAGGACAACAATAATCGAGCTCATTAATTCAACTGACTGTCGACTAATATCAAGCGGATTTTCTAATTGATTCCATCTGTTCACTATTGTGAACACCCAGCTATACTAATTCTCTCATCGTCAAAATTTTTTCAATCAACAAGACTAACAACATATTTACATCTTACAATCGATGATCATGATTGTCGACGACTAAATAGCCACAAGGAAAAATGTCTTTCATATGGATGTATTTAGATTGTTGACGAAAGACGTTCTTGGTTAATTGTCGCTATTCTATGATGAACTCATCAGTTGACGATAAGCAGATCACAGACGATTGATTGATGAACCCTGAAATGTCTTCATCGAACATAACTCGTCTTCTATATACAATTACGCCATACAGACGACAATTGTCAATGACTATTATTGATCGAAGGAGGTGGAGACAAGGAGAAAAAGGAAAAAAATGAGCACAAAAGAAATATATATATAATTGTTACATCACATCGATTTCGATGATGACGATCATCATCATTTTTTTATTTGTCAATAGAAAAATTGTTGGGCGTATCGTCACTTAGTCACACCTCTTGCTTATATCTTTAAAATGTCGTCAAGTTGAATATGATCGATAAGGAGTGTGAGAGAGAGAGAGAGAATAAATTTATTTTATTTAGATCGTATGAGAGTTCTTAGTGACATTTTTGTTCATCTTCTTTGCAGTCATCTTGCTCTTATACTTGCAGAGCGTCTTATTATGTCAAGGAATAGGAGTATATGTTACGCAAGTCAATATGGATCGAGATTTTTATGACTGACAAGAGAAGACAAAGAAATGATGATGACAACGTGCAAGTCACGTCAGAAATATCATAATATGAAGAGAAAAGAAAACAGGAATTGAATGAAAAGAAAGAAAGCTTCAATGAACATCGGTGCTCAAGGACGCATATAGAAAATCATTTGGACAATCAATGAGAAGAAGAGCAGGTGTCTTACTAATGATCTCTCACTTCATTTTACTTACTTGATCAAGCTTTTATCATTTTAAAGTAGACGGAAACTCTTCACATAAAGGATATCGAATGCTCAATTTAAGTTGATCATAAGCACACAGAAATGAGTGCATACATATATATACGATCTGAATCTTTCATACTGAACATACATAGAAGGCAGACAGATGTGAAGTCAAAAAAAAAGATCAAAGTAAAAAAGAGGAAATTGAAATTGAGATCTCTGGCACGCGAACTGTTGTCTTTTGATTTATAATTTAGCATCAACACTAATAATAACAACAACAAATCATTCATCTATTTCTTTATACTTACTTATGGCCTGTTCTTTCTCTCGTTTTCTCTTCACTGATTAAAATATACATCGAGATGGATCAAGAGAGATAAAAAAGCCAAATGACCATTTGACATTTTCTCATTTCTCGTTTGCTTGTTTTTGCATATGTGAAGGAGAAAAATAGTGAGAAAGAGAAAGAGAAAGAGAGAGAGAGAGAGAGAGAGAAGCAAGGAAGGCTAATATTAATCAATCTATGTTGGTCAATAGAGAGATTAGATTGTGTCCAACGATATACACACGCACGAGCTAAATTGACATTTTCAGTATCGAAGGACACGCGCCATCATTGTCGCCGCGTTGATTGCTCGTTTGCATGCATAAACCATGACTGGTAGTTTCTCTCAACTGATTTTGTTTTCAATTAGATACCAAAGTAGCAGATTAACATTTTCATGTTAATTGAAACTCTCAAATTAGAATCAATGCATGCGACCGGAAACAATATGGAGATTTTTTTCAAATTTTATTGATAATCGTGTTTTCAAGAGTGTGAACATCGAAACAAAAAAAAATATACAGACAATAAATTATATATTGACTGTTTAAAGTGAAACTTGTTCGTTTACCTTCAAATCATTATGGTAATGTCATCTGTCGTTCATTCTCTACATAAACTATAATCATGAAATTACTTGATGGTTGCTCGATGAACATCTGTTCTCTTCTCTAAGGCTTGTGCGGAAGTCAACTGACTGTGACATTGACAATGAACTCTATTTTTTTCCCTTTGCCTTGTTAATGAACCTTATATTTTTCTTATCCTTCATCCTGCACTATAATGTATGATGGACAACATCGCCTCATTTGAAAAACGACGTATATCGTTTTATGATGATATTTAGATGAGAGAATATCCAATAGTTTGCTTATCGGATATCACAATATCAAAGTCAAGCGGTCCGTGTAAATGCATTATACACATACGTATATGGGTGTGCCACATGTGGAGAATGGAATTAAAAAAGAAAACTAAGAATTCAACATTTGCTCGTCTGCTGTCACTTTTTATGGTATCATGAACTCAAAGTAACAGAAAAAAAAGAGGAAAAAATGGGATTTCGATAGTTTACAAATTTTTGATTAGAAAAAAAAGAAAGAACACATGTCGCCATAAGACAAATATGAAAGTGACATATAGTCAACGAACGATGATGAATGCAACGGAGCAACAGTCATTATTTACTTTCTTCTTATCTATATTAACAATGGTGATTTGATAGGATAGTTTTCATCAGGTGACGCACCAAAAATAAAAAGTAAGTCAAATGATCTTGCCTACCGAAGAAAAAACTACAATCAATTGATAAATTATAAATGAATTTGTTGTAATGATAAAATAACTAGAAGATTGTTGTGACACGCGATACCAGTCAATCGGCTGAATTCTTGATTCAACTTAAGGCTAACACTAAGCAATGGACATTTCTTTGAATAGAAAAATGCAGGACTGGCCCGACTGGGGCGTTGTTGGTAGTTTTCACAACCTCCCAATATTTGAGAAAATTCGTTTTTTTTCTTTTTATAAAAAGCTCACGTACCGTTGTTCTTGCGTACTTTTGAGATTGTAGATACTTTATAATTGTAATTGAAAGGCAATTTTTTCACACATAGATAAAAATAGGAACAGAACTAGTTTATAATTTACTTGTTCGCAAACACACTTCTTCCTTGAAGAAAACTTTATTTACATGTACACTACTTATATGAAGAAATTCCACTTACAATCTCCCTAACGTTTCGATAGGTTGGGTCAGTCCTGAAAAAAATAGAAGTCACGATAAAATTTTCTAAATCATATTGTATTTAATTGAAATTTGAATAAATTTTCTACATTCAATCATTTAATCAACATGAGAAAAAGGTTTGAAAACGACGATAGTGACTTATATTATACGTCTTATCAATATCACGTTTGTCAATACTGCGATGAGAATAAAAGAACATTTGTGCATCGATCACATGCTTTTATGATCTTACATTCGCTTTTTTTTGTGTGCCGTAGAGCAAAATCTGATATCATGTAGACAAACAAAAGAAAGGTTTCCATGTTTTTTTGTTAAAATTATTTGTTGAGATTAACAAATAATGTGATACTCTCATATTCAAGAAATACTTGCAAGGCTTGCTCATAATCAGGTAACAAATATATTTTATTGATAGAGATTGTATTTGATAAAGTTTACACTCTTGAATAAAGTATTACCAATGAGTCATATAATTTCGTTGTAATCAACAAAACTATTGAATCACGTACTTATATCAAAATTTCTAATATTATTGCAATTATCAATCGTGATTTCGCTGTCGATCAGTAAATTTTACTTTCAATAAAATTTTCATTAAATCCATGACTTTTTTTCTTATTAAATATAGAAGATTTCAAGTAATAGAACACACAAAAGAGTGGATCATGAAATTTTTAGTATTAGCAAAGGTCGTGCTATTAGTAAAATAAATGAAAAAGCTTATAAATATATATCTTTTTTGTTTTTTTTTGTGCGTGGTACACTCAACAAAACAATATTAAGTGAGAAAATAAATCGTAGTTCAAATAAAGGGAAAAAATAGTTGAGGAATATTGCGAGTGAAAGAGGTTAAAACGAAAGACAAAAGAAAAAGGAATACGTAGACAACATTCAATCTATCTATCACACTTCTGTTCAAATGATCAATAAAATAATTATTCAAGTTCTCCAATTGGAACACTTTTCATCCAAAGTTTATGCATAAATTGAAATAAAGCATCTGTAACTGAAACTTTATATGGTGTTGGGTTAAGATCACGTTTATGATCTTTTCGTAATTCATTGATTTGCTCTCGCGCATGAGTACGAACTTGTTTCAATGATGGCATTGGACCTTTGATTTCTCCATCAGCCCAATATAATTTATATAAATTGTGAACTGATGATGGTGTAACATAAGCGCGTTTTTGTTCTGAAAACGGATGTCGACTGAGAATTCGTACTGATGCTTCCGGTTCGGGCTCATCAATTCTCGTTAGTAAATCACATAATGCTTTACCATCATGACCATATAGACGATAAAGATTTTTTCTACCAGGTATTGTGACTTTTTCAATATCTTGACTAACTTTAATACGCGGTG